TAGACTCCAGAGGAAGTGCAGAGTAGTGAGTCAGGTACTCAACTGTACAGCACACCGGAGCCCACCAGTCAAGAGGTCAGCCAAGATCAGGCTGATTCTTTTAGGAGCAAGTGAACATGAAATGCTTGCAGCTTCCAGAAAGATTTATTCATTTCCTGTTCCAGCTACCGGCCTAGGAACAGATGAGAGAGATCACTGGGACGTAGTAGAGCAGGAGTGGACACGGTTTCTTTTAGCAGATGACAAGGGTAGCACTTCTGGTCAGTGGCAAGGAGCTGGGGACTACGTAAAATGCTGACTCTTAACTTCCCTCTCCTGTTCTAAATGGAGCAGAGGCTTAAGCATGCTGGAACAGAGTGAATACGTCTATAATTCTTCAGAAGACTGTGGGCAAAAATGATACAAAACCCAGAACCTGTAAGGATTTACTTGGACTATTTTTGAAAATTATATTTGAAATTATATATTTATACTCCAAAGAGAAGGTTGAAAAAAGCTTGGAAAAATTATTGGTGCTTTGGCAAAATATTGTTAGATTAAGAGTTTTCAAATCAACCAGAAAAAGCAAGGATCTCATCAGGTGTAGGGAGGCAGGCCTGTAACTACAGCACTTGCAAGGTAGAGGCAGTAAGATCACAAATTCAAGGTCAGCCTGGGTCAGACAGAACCACGTGTTATCCACATGACCGCAGAAGTGGACATTGTGTTATCCATGAAAAATTTTTTCCCAATCGTTTCTTATTGAAAAAAAAAATATCTGGAAGAATTCCATTTAAACTACGAACGGCATGGGTTTGATCGCCAACACTCACATGGCAGCCCTGAAATGTCTGTAACCCCAGCTCCAGGGGACCCAACACTCTCTTCTGGCCTCTGCAGGCACCGGGCACACATGTGGTACACAGACACACATACTGGCAAGACACCCATATACACAAAATAATAAGATAAAATATGAACAGTAGGATTTATGGGACACGTGCCTGTTTATCGCTTTCAGCGCTATGTGGTTTGTGCGCCACCCAATGTAGTGCTGCGAACTCAACTTGGACGCTCTGAAGAGCAGCAAATGCTCTTTAGGGAAATGAGCCATTTGTCCAGCATGGCCCCTCCCTGGCTAACAGACGGATGCATCAGAAGACTTAAGGACAGGCTCACAGAACCCCTGTCACACAGAGTCTGAAGAACACAAGCAGCTCCATGAAAGGCAGATTGCTGAATTCACTTCCTGACCCTGTCACTCACGGACACACTGATCTACCTGCCTGCTCACTCTCTGAGCTTTCTGTTCACTCCGTTGGAACTCTGGGAACCAGGGGAGCTCTGGGCAGCAGGAACTCACTGGTGGGCATCGGTAGTTATCATCTGACTGTGGAACAGGTTTTCAGGAAACCTTTCTAACCATGCTAGAAATTAGGGACAGTATGTTGCTCCAGTCTCTGACGATGCCCATCTCAGAGCTGATGATGCCAGCCTCACCCACCCACTTCCTGCTGACTTAGCTCAGGAGGCCCACACACATCAGACCATAGGAAACACAATGTCCTCTTCTGCGGTCATGTGGATAATCCGTGGTTCTGTCACAGGTGAAGACAGACCTACAAAACACAATACTTCACAGAAATGACCTCATCTTCACATCTAATTAAACTGGAAGCCTAATTAAGTCACTGCTACTATAAGCTGGGAGAACTTGATGCTGGTCCATAGTCATTTTGCTTGGCAAAACTCAATCATGAGAAATCTGTGCCTATCTAGTTACACCTGATTTAAAAGTCAAATGCTGAAAGATTTAACACTTGCCCCAGTGAGCCTGAGACCAGCTTACCAGAGTGGGCTGCAGGCTGAGGTACTTGCAGATGGCTCTGCCATCTTATGGTCAGGAGCAGCCTCTCTTGGCAAGTAAAGAGGAGACTCGCCTTCTTTCAACAAACAGTGCCCCATCAGTATCTGTGGGGGATGGACCCCTGTGGATACCACGTCTACGATGCTCAAGTTCCTTAAATCCAATGTCATAATGTTTAGACACAATCCCACATATCCCCTGCTCCTTAAATCCACTCTAGATTACCTATATGATGTAAATGCTAAATACAATAAATCGTCGCACCAGGTTACTGAAGACATCCTGACAACAAAAACATCTGTATATGTTCAATATAGGCAAAAACATTTTCTGAAATTTTTAAATTCAAAATTAGTTGAATCTGTGAATGCAAAGGGCCGACAATTGGGCTGTATGTAGCATTGGGCTGCAGCCAGCATGTGCTCGAACCTATTCTGAGCCCTGGGGGAGAAGCAGGGATAATACAGGTTCTGGGTCTGTGTACTCGGATTCTGTAAACAGACTTCTCTGCTGCAGAAATGTAAGCACTAGGGCTAAACATGTCAGACAATCTGCAGACGATGCCCGTCTGCATGGAACGCAGCTCTAAGAACACGCATCCTGCCTAGCCCAGGGACCAACTGGGGAGGAAGGAGGCACAGATCATCCCTCCTGGGAATCCATTTCCTTGAGGGTGAAAATGAATCCTCCTCCTCCATCCAGTGGCATAGCTTTCATGGGTGAGCCTGGGAATCCAGAGTCAAGCTCCCAAATGCCAACACGAGGACGCAGGGACCGGATGCATGACATGCAGGAAAGGTCTGCAACCAACACTTTTGTGGGCAGGAAGACAATTTTTACAGAATTTAGTTCTGTCAAACAAGGCATTGCTAGAATCGGAAAACACGGGCCAAAAATAAGATCACAAATGTTCCAGTTCTCATGGAAGCTATTCTTAGAAATGAAAAAAAAAAAAAAACCAACCTAGACATTAAAAAAATGCAAGTTTTCAAAATCTATTCAATTATTCAGAGTTCTCGGAGAGGCAGGATGATAGGGAGAACACTGGGCTAATAATCAGGTGGCCCGGGTTTATTTTCAGCTCTGCCAGAAGCCCTGTGAACTTGGGCAATGCTGCCTGACAGCGCGGTGGGGGGAGGGAGCCGCAGTGGCAGTGGCGACATCTCTGCTTGCAGAGCACTGCTGTTCTGTGACTCAGCAACGCGTTAGCCTTGCGGTTTCCCTCCTACGGCTAAGGAGATGGGGATCTTTTGTTTTGAAATCAACAAAGTGGCCCCCTCATCCCAATACCCATGTTACAAGAGCTACCTGCATTATCTGGATACTCGGAGGAGCAGGACACTCTGGGATGGAAGCGGTGCAGACCTCCGGTGCAGCACAATGCATGCGCCATGAAGCTATGCATTAAGAAGTTCTGCTTTAGCCCTGCGTGGGAAAACTGCACGCTATCATTCTAATTCTGTTCACCTAAATCTGCCCTCTTCGCCTATGGGGGAAACAAATTAAATCTGGGGAGCGGTGCACCTCGAGACGGCCAGGGACAGCGGCAGGAAGGGGCAGGAAGGGGCAAGGAGAAGAGGGCTTTTGCAGAACAAACAGGCAAACAAAATCTTAAGCAAGCAGACTGCAGTGCTAAGCCTGAGAATACAGGCCAGTGAAGAAAACAGCCCTACATCTTTGGATAGCCCTGTAGGCATTAAACAACACACCACATTAAGGTGACATGAATTCTGGGGTAGCCTGATCCAGCTTCTTAATGCTCCAAGGCCATGAGATATACCGACTAAAAAGGCCAAGAAATTTTAAGGAAAAAAAAATCATTAAAAAGAACAAAATCTTTGGCACTTCAAGGAGCAGGCTTTTTTAAAATCCAATCTCTTGAAGCAATTCATTTCTAATCCTCCCCAGTAAGTGAGGGACATCTCACAGTGTTTACCATTTCGTTTTTTTACAACCAAGGCTGATGAAAGAGAGCCATGTGCTAGCTGGGCCCTGTTGGCAGGACCATAAAGCTGGCTGCTCACACACGGGTGTGGGGACTTAGTCCCTCTCCCTCTGCCATGCCACCCTGGCTTTCTTCCAGATCTTGGGTACACCAAGCTCTTCCTTACCCCAGGCCTGATTAACACGCTGTTCCCTGCCTGCGGTGTTCCTCCTGGCAGAATCCCATTCACCTTCCGTATCAGTTTAAACAACAGCTCAACAAGTCTTTAAGAGTCCCAGATAAAGGGCCTCTGCCAGCCACAAGAGTGGCTGCTTCTTTGCTTCCATATTTATAATTATACATTGTTGCCCATTTTTTCATTGATTCATAAAGCACAGATATATAAATATAAAGACAGAGGGCTATCTGATTTTTTGTGTCAGCTCCCAGGATGTGGGATCCAGTACAGTGCCTAACACGTGTGCTCTGTAAAACACTGGTGACGCAATAAATAAATAAATAAAGCATTTAAATTTTTTTTTTTTAAATAGGGTCTCAGTATCCCACGTTGGCCTTGATTCCCTATGTATCCTGTGGTGCCCTTGAGCTTCTGGTCCTCAGGCCTCCACCTCTGGAGTGCTGGGATGGTCAAGCTCGGGGCCTCACTCATTCACGTCAAGTGAGCACTCTACCAGCTGAGCCACATCCCCTGACCCTTGACAGGGCATTTATTACAATAGTATTATATATTATTTATGTTTTTTTAAATGTATGAGTGTTCTGTCTGCATGTATGCCTGCATGCCACAAGAGGACATCAGATCCCATTTCAGATGGTTGTGAGTCACCATGGGGAATTGAACTCAGGACCTCTGGAAGAGCAGCCAGTGTTCTTAAGGCTTGAGCCATCTCTCCAAGTCTTTTTATTTACATATTTTTAATGCATATTATATTGTATATTATTATAAAGCATCACTTCTACTTTATAAAGGAAGAAAGTTGCTCAGAGACGCTAAATAATCTGCCCAATGTCACACAGCTGGTAAGTGACAGGACATGGTCTCAAAGTCCTATCTGTCCAACTCCAGACAACACACCTAAATGCTGCTTTTGCTACAACACTCTGTGAGGCAAAATGAACCCATGATACAGCCTTCAAAGGGTTACAATCAGGAGGAAAATGCCTTTAGAAACCAAACTGAACACGAGACAGAAAGCTTTAAGTACTGTGCTACGCGGTACAAGTGGCTGCTGCAGGAGGCCGCAGGCGGAAGCAGGCAGGACTGGGAGGCCATTCAGACAAGACGAGAGCCAAGAACAAAGGCGGTGAGCAGCAGAGCTTAAGGTCGCTCTAACTGGAATGGAGGATTAACGTAAGCCCAGAAGCTGTGATGTAAGTTAAAGAAACATGCATATAATAAACAAATTTCTTCAGCCTTCTGTTCTAACACGGCGGAGCACAGGCCTGAGAAGCACCTGCCACCTAGTTGGTGTTACTCTACTCCTTGCCACCTAGTTGGTGTTACTCTACTCCTTGCTACCTAGTTGGTGTTACTCTACTCCTTGCTGGCACCAGTAGGGTGAAAAGCTGCCGTGGCTGCCCGGCTGACGAAATGCTAAAACCTGTAAGGTTCCTACAGTCACTAATCAACTGAAACTCAAGGGAAGAGAAGTTATTACTAAACTACAAGCAGTCTTTATACAGAATGGTAAGTTACTTCAAACTCACCATACACCTGAAACTATCTTAACCAAACAAGTGTGTATCTTGTTTGTGTTTGATCACTATTCCCCTCCATCATCCATAGCTTCAAGAGAGTCAGTTTGAGTGGGGTGTTGGGAGTGGACACAATCAGGATACATTATACACATGTATGCCAAAAAATAAATAAAAATATTTTTAACACAGAAAGTCAGTTTGAAGGGATATTCCTGAATGAGCTGGCACAAGACTTTAAATCTCACCACTGGGGAGGCAGAGGCAGGTGCATCTCTTGTGAGTTTGAGGCCAGTTTAGTCTATAAGTGAGCTCCAGGCAAGCCAAGGCTACACACAGAGAAACCCTGTCTCAAGGGAAAGAAGGAAGGAAGGGAAGAAGGAAGGAGTGAGTGAGGAGGGAGAGAGGGAGGGAGGAAGGAACGGGTTCTTTCCTTTACCAAGTCCAAGCACCATGGTCACCCACATGTATTCCAGAAGGGCTGGCTCCAGGCGCATTGGCCCTGTCTCCTTTGGATAATAAAATCTACCAAGCTCAAGTTCTTTACAGTAAATGACTGAGTGTTAACATATAATTTTCTATTTCTTCCCATCTAATATACTGTAAATCATCTCCACCTGTAATGATTAACACCAATTGTGATTTTGTCTAGAGAATAAGTCCATACATGTTCCCTTACATGCAATGTGTGTGTGCGTGAGAGAGAGAAAGAAAGGGAGAGAGAATTTGAGTGTGTGTGTGTGAGAGAGAGAGAGAGGAGAGAGGAGGGAGAGACAGAGTACATTCTTGTGTTTGGTGCATGGGTGTATATGTGTTTGTGAGTGGGTGCAAATGTGTGTCGCACGCATGTGGAGGCCAGAGGTCTCCACATCTCTCTTTTTTTTTTACTTAGTTTTTATTCATAATTATAAACTTAACTCTGCAATCCAGCTAGACTTGGAGGGGAATGAGGAAAATATGGAACCCAAAGAACTTCAGTGAGAGCAGATGGGGCTGGGGTGCTCTCCTGAGCTACAGAAGGAATGGTCTGGTGGGTAAAAAGTCCACAAGTCAAAAGAATTAAGAGCTGTCTACAGTCAGAAATGGTGATCTTCTTGCTGGTCTTGCCATTCCTGGACCCAAAACACTCCATGGCTTCCACAATGTTCATGCCTTCTTTCACCTTCCCAAAGACCACGTATTTGCCATCCAGCCACTTAGTCTTGGTGGTGCAGATAAAAAACTGGGAACCGTTTGTGTTTGGTCCAGCATTTGCCATGGACAAGATGCCAGGACCTGTATGCTTCAGGATGAAGTTCTCATCCTCAAATTTTTCTCCGTAGATGGATCTGCCACCAGTGCCGTTATGGCGTGTGACGTCACCACCCTGGCACATGAATCCTGGAATAATCCTGTGAAAGGAAGAACCCTTATATCCAAATCCTTTCTCTCCAGTGCTCAGAGCACGAAAGTTTTCTGCTGTCTTTGGAACTTTGTCTGCAAACAGCTCGAAGGAGACACGGCCCAAGGGCTCGCCATCGGCCGCGATGTCGAAGAACACGGTGGGGTTGACCATGGATGCAGCAAGCGGCGAGAGGGAACAGCGGCGTCTGCAAAGCCAATATCCACTCTCTTACACAATCACTCTCCACCTTATTTTCCGAGACAAGGTTTTTCACTGAACTGGAAGCTTGCTCATCCAAGCAGATGGGCTGGCCAGGAAGCCTCAGGAATCATGTCTTTGTCTGTCCAGTACATCACACCTGGCTTTTCATGTGGGTTCTGGAGATCAAACTCAGGTCCCTGTGCTTGCCTGGAAAGTGTTCTATGGGATGAACTATTTCCCAGTTTATAGATATAATTTGAAAAAAAAAATACTTTGAATTCATAGATATGGAATCTAGAGATACTGAGAATCCAATACACAAATTTCTTAATACAGACTTGGCTCCTGTGAGTACCCTAAATTCCCCAAGAATATTATGTATGAGTAAAATGTGCAAATAAATATTTAAGCATCTAAGTGGTAATGCATCAGAAGTTTGTAGAGACAACTACAAGACAGTAAGAGGGGAGCTGGTCCCAGCGGCATGGGGGAGAGCTAGCCCTGCCTTTAGCCTGCGCCATGCAGGAGAGCTGGATCCAGTGGCATGGGCACAGAAGAGTTGGGGGGCTGACCAACCCACTCAGTTATGAGGTCCAGATCCAGGGCTTTGAGCTGGCTCACCCCAACATCTACCCCACCTATGAGCTGCTGGAGCTGGGGAAGGGGGCAGTCCTGCAGAACCAAGCTGCAGGATCTCTGTGACACAGCAGGACATCCGAGAAGAGTCTCAGTGAGGGTCCAGTATTGATGGTGTAGCAGAAGCCAGAGGCCTCAAGCCAGACCAATCCGTTGTAATGATCATTCTCAAGTAAAGCCATTTGTGCAAAACGCCATGACACACTGCAGCTTCCACAGCAAGATTTTTTTCCTTGTGGGGGCAGTGTTCAAGGATGAGGGGGAAATGAGTGGGATCGGGGTGCATGGCGTGATTCACAGAGAATCAGTTTTTTAAAGTATGGAAAAAAGAGATGGATTCACACTAAATCTCAAATTATAACTGCTTAGAAGTAGGTATTAGATTTTCTTTTTTAATCAATGAAAAAAAAAAAAAAAACGAGGTTAAGAAAGACTGATGTGTTCATGGTAACGAGTGAAGTCCAAACCCAGGTCTGATACCTGGGATTCTGCACCACAGCCACCTTGAAGCATTAACTCAAGTTAAAACTTGATGCAGTCACAAAGGTAACGAATAACGCTGTAACATATGCTTCTTACATTTCTGCCCATCCTGGCTCACTCCTGCTCGTGCCACCCCCACCCAAGCCTGTCAACTAACCCTGCCAAGAGAGGAACGCATCTCTGCCTCATCCAGTTCCTTTTATGCACGTTTCTTGGGAGCTGGGTCGGGGACTATTTATCAGGATCATTTAGCTGATAGCTGGGCCCTGTGGAGGCTCCGACAGATCAACAAGCTTACTAAGAAATTATACTAGTCACACTTACAGGGCACTTAAAGGTTTCCAAAATACATCCACTTGTGCTTTCTCTTCAAGCCCCATGGTAATTACTATGTTTTATGCAAAGGGGACTGGAGTTCTCTCTGAGGGCACTGTGACCTCAAGGAGCAGAGAGGGGCTCACAGCTACACGACATAGACATGGAGTCTACTGCCTTGCTTTACCTCTGTGGTAGATGCACTGATTTAAAACCTGTTTGTGGACTTCCAAATGCAGCGTCACGTTGGGACATCTGGGTTCACTCCCAGCTCTCAGCCAATGAGCGATCGTCTAGCCTCCATGATAGAAGGAAAGTGTGTGACCAGCCAAGGCCCTAACAATCTCTGACTCAACAGGCCAGCCAGCTTCAACAGTAAATGCAAGGGTGGTGGCAAATTAACATACCTAACAATCCAGTCCAGCTGCGAAACACAGGAGCAGCCGGCATTCAACCCTGTCCCAGAGCTCATAAATATTCAAACAAAAGAGATGTGGTCATGGGCATCTAGGTTTCTCACGCTGTGGCTCCACAGAGTGATTTAAGGATCTCCAGCCTTGGGCTGGTGAGATGGCTCAGCAGGTAGAGAGAGGTGGTTGTCCTCGGGCAATTACCTGAGCTTGAGCCTTCCTACAAGATGCAGGAAAGAAGGACTCTGATCTTCACATGCTTGCCATCGTGTGTGCGGTCCGATGTGTGCGTGCACATGCACGCGCGCGCACACACACAGACACACACACACAAATTCAAAAATGATATCTAGAGTCCAAACATGTTCCTTAGAGCCCCTAAACCTCAGGGCCACCCTGTCCTCCATTCATCTCTTGCTGGGCATGTTCCTTCAGCCCAGAGCAATGAGCTGTCTCTGAAAGGGATGTTCTTTCTGGTTCTCCAGGGCCACCTCTAGCTTCTCTAGCTCTGGTCTCAGATCTAGCACTTTCTAGTAAAACACTTTCACGGATGATCTTCCCAAACGCTCTGCACACACTGCCTCCTCTTCCCTGAACAGCTGTCAGTTTTACTTCTCAATGTGCTTTCGTGGAAACATTAGTTAGTCTTAGCATCATCGCTCCAGAGCCAGCCTCCTATCTTCCTGTCTCAGGGCCTGCACAGATCTTTCCACCCCGCCTTCCCAGAGCACTGCTCTGTAGATCTCTGCCTTCCTGCACATCTCTGCCTTCCTGCATACTCCTGGGGAGCACTTCTGAACACCAAAATCCGTACAAAGGCATCAATAGGTTAGCTTTGTTAAGACACACCCCTGGGCTCTAATTAGCATAATAAGAGGCTCATGCACTGAGCACCTCCTAGTACATTACATTTAATATGATACTTCGATAAAACTTGCGATTTGACCCTCTGAACAATCAAAGAGTGTGTCTCTCTAGTTTAAAAAAACAAAACCAAAACAAATAAAACAACTATGATGGTCAAGAGAAGTAAAATAATTCTCCATGATCATGGAGTCATGAATGAGGAGTTATGAATGAAGAGAGCCATAACTCAAGTCTGCAGATTAAGATACACCTTGGGTATTTTGTATAGAACTAATTGATGTTTTGGGTCCCTCCTGCAAGGAGCAAGCGCCATATAAACATATGTTTAGAGCTACTTCATGTGAGAATAATTAAACTGAAACTGCCTTTCCTGGTTCAGTCTCTTGGTCCTTAAGGGAGTTGAACCAAGCTTAAAACTGGCAGGAGTAGCATCAGAGCTTAACACACAGCAAAACCTTAACACAGGAGTTGTAACATCAGAGCTTAAGATAGAGTAAAACCTTAACACAGGAGTGTGTAACATCAGAGCTTAACACACAGCAAAACCTTAACACAGGAGTGTGTAACATCAGAGCTTAACACACAGCAAAACCTTAACACAGGAGTTGTAACATCAGAGCTTAAGACAGAGTAAAACCTTAACACAGGAGTGTGTAACATCAGAGCTTAACACACAGCAAACCCTTAACTAAAGCCAACACAGGATGACTAATCGCCAGACCCCCGCCCCACGCACAAGGAACCAAAGCACATTTTCTTCAGAGGACAACAAATCAAGCCAGCTCATCACAACTGAGTTTCCCCACGTGCGTAGACTTAAAGTGAGTCTACCGCATATTTGCAAATACTTGGGTTGCTAGAAAGAGGACAAATGGGCAAAAAAGCTCAAGTTTAGGAGAAAGAAAAACAGACCACAACAAACCCCATGTTTCCAGCTACATAGTTATTGGACCAGCTATGTTTGGACTATCGCAACTAGTAGCTTTTATTAGCGTTAAAATTCCCAGGCATCAGGGGACAATGAAGTATTACTCTCCCTAAGAAAAGAGGCAAAGGTCCTTCATCATTGCCTGGAAGGCACCCTCCTCTCTTTTGGGAATGCTCACATCTTACTGAAGCAAGTGGCTGAGCACCAGCTCCAGACGTGAACCCCACGCTCTCTGCAAGCTCACAGCAAGCTCAACAGCCAACATTTGCCTCCAGATTGGGAATCAAGTAAAACCTGTGATCAGAGCCTCTGACCTCTTCTATGTGGATCACAGAATTTTTTTAAAAAATGTTTCTATGATAGTCTAAAACTTGCAACATCATAGATGAGGAATTGGGGGACAGAGACTGAAACACAAAACACAAGATTATATCACAGAGGGCTTTCTCAGCAGGATACCACAGGTTCTGTTTTTATAGTGGTTTCTCAAGACTGGATTAAGGATAGAGAAGTATTAGCCCAGCTTTCACTTTACGTTGATATAACACCTATTGAATGCTTTCAACCAAACTAGCTCCAAACTACATTTACTAACCCATTTCTTTCTTTCTTTGCCTCCCCCCCCCCCCCCCCCCCCCCCCCAGACAGGGTTTCTCTGTAACTAGCTTTGGAGCCTGTCCTGGAACTAGCTTTTGTAAACCTGGCTGGCCTTAAACTCACAGAGATCCGCCTGCCTCTGCCTCCTGAGTGCTGGGATTAAAGGTGTGCGCCACGGCCGCCCAGCCTAACCCATTTCTGAGTGGAGCCACCATTAAACAACAACGAAACACCTAGACCAGACACACACAGACTGCTTTGTTCTTCAAGCACCATTACCCCTGAAACCCACACACACACAGACCCTGAGGCCGCGAAGTGGCGTGAACAAGTTCCTACCAAATTTCTAAGCGGAGGGGGCAGAAGACACAAGAGACTTTCTGCTTACCAGGGCAGAGGACCGGAAAGCTGTAGACACTGACAGATGCAGAGCTATTTCATAAGACTCCTGGAGCCAACACAATATAGCTCTTTCTAGAGGGGGCTACATGGTAAACTGGATGGGTTTTCTGCCTCCACATTAGTTCCTCATCATATAAAACAGCTGAGCCTTGTTTCTCCTGCCTCAAAGCCATTATTTCCTGGATAGCAGAGACCTAGGCTGTGGGAGATTGGACAGGATTCGAGGAGGCGGAGGCGAAAAGTTCTCCAGCTGACGACCACAAGCAGTGCTAAGCATCGTGTGCCATATGGTAACCACACAGGGTGAGAGGTCACCTGTGCTGAAACTGAGGCACAGAGACATGGCAGTCACCCTCTGGGAGACCAATGACGGAGCTCAGAAGGACCTGGGAGCAGCCTCCGTGAGCCTGCCATGAAAAAGCAGAGCGGAATAGCAGAGCAGGGTCTGCGGTTAACATTCCTACAGAAAGAAAAGAGCCTTTAGGAACTGCTCAGACAGGAGCTGCTTCCAGCCACCTGCCTCGAACTTCTAATTGAAAGTTGCAGTTCACAGAGGCAAATATTGGAGTCAGCAGTGAACTTCCCTATTATACCATATGCCTTTTGAGCCATTTGTCACACCTGGCTAGCCTTTCACCTTCATGTCAACCAAAGCTCAGCCCTTCAGATCAGCCTGAGTGGAAGAGAACTCATCACAGCTGCTGCGGATGGCGCCTCTGGGGACGGACGATGAGCATCTTGCTAACATCACCCTCAGTTCAGTCTGTATGGGAGAGGGCTCTACCTGAGGCCATGGCTTACTCTGCTCAACCAGAACCAAGAGGGGCAGCCTCCTGAATTCCCATGCCTTGACCCAAAACTGAGTGGAAAGGGCCTTGGAAGAAGTGAGACAAGCCGGGCGGGTGCTGGCACACGCCTTTAACCCCAACAGTTGGGAGGCAGAGACAGGCAGATACCTGTGAGTTCGAGGCCAGCCTGGTCTACACAGAGTGAGTTCCAGGACTGGCTCCATAGCTACTGAGAAACCCTGTCTCGAAAAACCAAAATATAAATTTAAAAAGAAGTGAGATAAACTAGAGTGTATCTAGTGGAGAATTGGAGGGTGGGGGTGGGGCGGGGTAGGGCCAGCATGGAAACAGGGCTATTTCTGGGATAAAGGAGGCAGCCAGGAAGTTCTGGGACAGTGAAAGGCAACAACAATCTTCAGATTTTCGGGTGTTACAAAGGTCTGGTGATCCCCAACAGGCTGAGGGCAGCAGCTCTCTGAAGGCGCCAACAGACACACCGAGTTCCGTCAGCCTGGACTCAGCCCTGCCAGTGTGGCAAACAAGCACGCGCATTCTTCTCAGGGCTGAGGCCGCACAACAGCCTCTCCACAGGGCCTGTTTGCTTAAGGAGCCCAAGGCTTTGATGTCCGGGTAGAAGTTGGGAAGTTCTGTGTAAAGAAGTAGCTCTAGCGGCAGGAGCAGAGGGAGGGGCGAACGGCGGCTCCCGGCCCTATTAATCACAAGTTTAAGAACTTTTAAGGAAATTATCGAATGGTCTGTACACAGGAATGAGAAGCAAGGAAATTATGTCAGCCTCTGCTGCGACTCGGGCCAAGGCATTTCTACTGTTTCTTTACGACAGACTTTCATGCCTACCCTCAAAGGGGTGCTTATGGGGGAATGTTTTGAAGCAACCCAACTTAGCAACCAACATTAATAAAATCCTCTGGGCCTGCTCAGTTTCTCCCATGTACAAAGGTTATATGTGCTGTGAACATTCCAAGCATATAAAGGCAAGAGTCGCTTCATACTGACAACAGCGTGGGGCTAAGAGCAAAGGAAGACGACCGAGGCTAAGGACATCTGTGGGTGACAAAAGCAGGCTCGTAACTGAGGGCTAAGAATCCGCTAATACAGAGGGTATTTTTATGCACGCATGTTTGTTTCTCCTAAGTATGCAAGCTTAGCTCCATTTTAACGATTAGGAATGAGACGTGGAGGCTTAAGGAACTTAGGGAAGATAACATAATAACACAGCTAGGATGCAGGCCAGGCTGGTCCAGAGCCCGCCCCCTGGGCTGCAGGGCCTTCCCATGGCATGCCAAACCCTCAGAACAAGATCAGGAAGTGCAATTTTTGTAAGATGTAAGTGGTGATCTTCCACCTTTGTTTTCTTGCCATTCTTTTTGCTGTTTCAGTAACAGCCACTATTTATTTCCACTTTCTTCCGAGTCTATTGTACTTATTGATAATACCATAAACTAGAAAAAAAAGTATTTCTCTGCTTGCTCACATCCCATAGAGCACCAAACCATTAGGACCCCTATGTGAACAACACATGCCGTCAAAATAAATACAACGCACTTGAAGCCAGCTTAAAACCAAGATCAAAGAGACGATGAAAGGAAACCTAGGGAGAAACAGGGAGGCTGGGGAAAGAGGACAACCTATTGGGTTTCATGAGTTAAGAAGCCCAAGTCACCGCGGAGGCTGAGAAGCCACACTGCAAAGGCATACACTTTCCTCTGTAAATTTCTTAAGATTAAATGCTGGGGGCTGGGAATACAGTTTAGTGGTAGCGCAAGCAGTTGCCTAGTATGAGCAAGGCTTGGGATTTAACCCCCAGCAACACCCCCAGCCCATGCAATGGTACAAGCTCTTTTAAGCTGAAGCCGTTAGCAGTTGGGCATCGTCACGTCCGAATTACCTCTGTAACTGGGCAGCCCCTCCCCCTCCCATTTCTGGGCCTTTGGAATGCATTCCCAGACACTCAGGACAGGACTGAAAAGAACACGGAGCTGTAGGAAAGGAGAACTAAGAACTTCTGTGTTGTTTGTTTGTTTGGGGGGGGGGGCGGGGAGAGACCGGATGCTTTCACATTATCAAAAAAAAAAAAAAAATGACTCCAAAGAACAGCTTCCCACTCCTGCAGTCTGAGAACATACAACGTCTTGACAAGAAATAGTAAGTGTTCTGTGACGCTGATGCTTTAATTCACCCTGTTATAACGGGTCCTCGAACACCAGATCTCTTCAGTCCAGTGTAGCGTTATCATCTGCATTATAAGACGGAGACTTGGGAAACACAGGGAATGCTTCATAATTCCCAGAAGCTGAGCTTTTGAAAGCCATCTTAATGATTTCTAAGGTGAAGGCGGTTAGCAAAGGCGCCACTTAAAAGCAAAAACCACCACCAACAACAAAAAAGCAGGTATTCAAATTACAGAAAGCATACTCTCCTTAAGAATCACGGAAGGGTAGGGGAAAGGAACTCATTTTTAAAAAAAAGACTGAAGGAAAAAACCTAACAAGCTGTAACTAGATAAAATGAGAGAAACGCCTTTGCCTATGAACTTCAAAGAAGAGGCTTCTGAACCAGGTTTCTCTGTCTCTTCCTTTGAGGTCGGTATATTATTAATGGCAAAGTCAACCAGGGATTGTTGTGGACTTGAACGTGGGTTGTGCAGCGAGTGGAGAATCTGGAGTGTGGGGCAAGAATGCCAGGTCCGGCTAGTGGAAGGAAGTTGTGGGCCTGGCATAATTTGCATGAAATATCAGTGTTGTAAATCATTTCCCAACACCCCACCTAGAAAGGGAAGTCTACACAATTTTATTTTCCATTAACTAGGAAGATTTGCCAGTATTTACTCCACTCTATCTGCGCCCAGGCAGAACCCCTTAACTACCCTCAGACAGCTTGCTGCTTGGGCGGATCAGCACAGTTTTCCCCGACCGGAGAATCAAGTCACCCTAACAAGTATGGATCTCAAAAGAAAGTCCAAGGGGACACTGAAGTTCCAGAGATCCTGATGGAATGTAAACAAAGACAGACCAGGTACCAACACCAGCCACCCACTCTTACCTCGGTGTACAGTTTCTCTTTGGAAGAAAAAAAAAAAAAGAAAGAGATAACAGAGAAAACACATTGAACTGAAAATGCCTTTCCCATGTGTGGGTTGCAACAATTGTTAATTTTAGAAAAATAGAGGAGGCAAACGCCCTGGCTGTGCTGAAACCAAGACTTTCCTAACAGTTTCTCAATGCAGCAATGTGTCAAGGTTCGGATACTTGTACCCGAAAAACAGAAGCAACACAACTTCTTGGAACATCTTGACCAAAAGCAGGCTTAAGACACAATCTCTGCTGTATGTTTTATAGTTATTAAGATCCAGGAAATGAAAGAGCGGGCCTGATCAGGGTTCAACACTAGGTTAGAGGTCAGCTTTGAAGGAGTTAGGAAGATCAGAGGTCCGCAGGTCACACACAGAAGCCAATAGCAGTACTTCTGCAGAGTCTGTCTCATCGTGGGTCCACTTACAAGAAAATATGGCACACCGGAGCCTAGTTTCACAATGGGTTTGGAATAAAGAAGTTCAAAGAGTCCGGGGTGCGTGGAAAAGAGTGAGGTGACAGGTTATAACCCCGACTCTTGTTTGGGACAGTTGGCAACTCTGTGAGGTCATCAGATGGATCTTCCGGATAATTCTGGTCCGTCCTGCAACTGCTTCTAATCTAGGTCCCAGAGGCCCTGTTGTGTTCTTTGGGCTCTGCACACAGGATTTTGGTTTTTGGTTCGGGAAGCCTCTCAAGGTCATTTTGGGTCAGGTCAGAGGGTTCTGCGCTTGCATCCTGAGAAAACATCTTGAACCGTTTTTTGAGGAGTAGCAGAGATGTCATTTTATGGCTGGGTTTCAATGTCATCGTCATTTACATGCGCGTTCCTTTAACTATGGAAACACAAGCCGTGACCTAACAACTGCTATGGGATTTCTGGACGCCAACCTCGCCACCCCCGAAAGTACCGACCCAGAAGAGGGGCACACCTCTGCTTCTGGGTAGCCCAACTTCTCCTGCAATCACTCAAGGGGTAATTATGCCTCCAGCTTCCTGGTAGGTAACAGCGTTGGTGAACCCGATGTTCTAGATTCGGGGTGGGGTCTGGGGGCAAACGGGGTTGACCAGGAGATTCTGACAACTTAAGAAGCAGAAGCAAAGAATGCAACGAGTGAAAGTCTCGGATTGCCTCGGCTGTGACGACACACAGCCCGGCGGGCCGCAACCACCCCGACCCGCGCCGCCCCCGCGCCCCGTCGCTCTCCGCAGCCGGGGTCTCGCGCCAGCCTCTTAGCGTGCAGTGGGGAGTGGGGGAGGCCGCCGGGGGCCGCAGACCGGGAGGGGCGGCCCCACTGTGGGGGTCTCCCGGGCCCCGCGCGCTCACCTGGTGCGTGTTGTTGGTCAGCTTGGCGACGAAGTCCGGGAGATGGCCGCAGCCCTGGTCCTCGGCGGGCGCGCCGCGGCGCCAACGGCCAGCGCGGGGGACGGGGCCCCCGGGCGCGGCGGCGCGCAGCCCCCAGCTCACCCCGACCGGCCCGGCCCAGCGCAGCGGAGGCGGCGCGGGCGGCGGCGGTGCGTCCAGCCGGTCCTGGCCGACGGCGGCCGGCGGCAGCAGCTGCAGGAGCAGGAGGAGGCCGAGGGGCCAGCGCGAGAGGCCGTCCGCAGCTCCCCGGGGCCGCTCCATCGCCGCCGACTGCAGACGCCGCTGACACCTGCCACCCGGCGCGCCCGCCCACCCCCGCCGGCGCTGCGCCACACCCCCGAGCCCGGCCCGGCGCTGCTTGGATACGCGCAGCCGGGCCTCTCCGCCCCCATAGGCTGGCCGCCTGTCCTTCTTCCCCGGCCCACTCCTCATTGGCTCGCGTCGCCTCCGGCTTCGGGGGTCCTGGATTCGGATGCCAAGATGCGGGACTGATTGGCTGGAACGTGGCAGGCACGGCTGAGGTCATTCCCCACCGTCGCTCGGCGTCTGCGGGCTGGGGGCCCGGAGTTGGCCTGGGGGCTCCCCGCCCCCCCACCCCCCGGCTCGGCCCCCGAGTTCGCAGCGCCTCCCGAGACCCTCGGGTTAGGATTGAGTCACTTTGCCTTCTCTCCCCGCCCCCGACCCCTGAAATGCTCCTCAAAATCCCGTCGAGGGAAACTGCGTCTGGAAAAGTCAGGGAATTCCTGAACTCCTCTCAGCTGGAAAAGGGGCTCCGACGTAAACTGGTGCATCAGGATTTTAACCCGGCCCTCTGGCTCGCCCATTGTCTGCTGAAGGAGCCAAGAAGGTGAATGCGAAAATCCTATGGAGGCAAATGAACATCATTACACCCGTGACTCATGCAAGCCGCAAAAGTCTTTCCAACATGTTTGGCCTCAGTCACCTTCCTCGTCTGCGTGGAGGTAGTCCAGAAACGGAATTACTTATTACTTATTGGCTTCCCTGGACTTGGAAATGTAGGTAACTTTGCCATCAAGTGTAGGTAAACGGGAAGAGAGTTGCCTAAAAGCCACTATATATATATAATCATTTCAATACAGGCACATTGTGATTTTAGTTAAAATAAAATACCCTTAATCCTGCAGTGAGTGCAGCGCACCAGTTCCTTCTCAGAATATGATGCCTCCTAAATTAGTACCCGACCTCCAGTAAATAAACCCTCCACTGTTCCCCACGCCGCAGAAGCTGTGCACACAGCTTCCAGAACATGCACTGCTGGTAAAACCAGTTCTAAACCCTTAGCTTCACCTCTTCCCAACGTCTCAAGCTGTTTAGTAGGAACACACAAAGCCAGACAAAAAGATACAAAGTGCAAAATCTACAGCAGAAAAGAAGCAAACGGGAAGTTACTTTTAACTTTAAAGAAACAGTAAATCCAAATGAGAGTTTTGCTGTACAGAGAAATGGTACCACCCAACTCCAGCATGTCCTTCAAAGTACTGGTTTGTTTTTTTGCAAACAAAACGATTTACATTATTTAGGGTTTTTTCCTTCCCCCAAACCAGAGTAAGAAATGAAATGTGAAGCCTTTGAATGCTGAGCAGGATGGCAAACCAACAGAAAAAGTCCTCCAGCTTCTGAGCTACAGAACAAGATGAAAAATGAATCTTTCTGTAAATATAAACGTAACATTATTTTTTAAAGTACGGCTTATGTTTAATTCGTGCCAACTATGGATTAGGTCACAAGGCAGCCTGTTTCCAGTAGCATGTGATCAGTTACGAAGGGGAGAAAAGGGGCTACAAAGGAATATTTCTTTGTTTGGGTGACGAAGATGAATGGTCTATTGTCTTACTATGGGGAAAGAAGAAAGCTAACTCAACAGTGCCACCTGCTGGAGAAACTACCAAATCCATCTTTTAGCTATTTGGTACAATTGTTTAGGTTTTTGTTTGTCGGTTTATTGGAGGAGGGACTGTGTCTTGTTTTGAAAACCAAGGTGGCTTCAAATCTTTGATTCTCCTTCCCCAGCCTCCTACATTGTGGGACTTCGGGCATGTGCTACATACCACTCCTTGATCAACCTTCATTTTTTTTTAATATGTTGCTTTTAGTTATGTACCTAACAGTGTGCTGGATTTCCTCAAACTGTTGACGTGTAACTTACCTATGCACTGAATTTTTTTATTATTATTTTGCAACAAGGGGGATTAAATTCAGGATCTTGCCCATATTGGGCAAATGCTCCACCTCTGAGGTAGAAAATACTACACATGAGATCTTTCTTTCCCTTCATGTATGTCTATGAGTGTTGGATCCCCTGGAACTGGAGTTACAGATAGTTGTGAGCTGCTATGTGGGTGCTAAGAATTGAACCCAGATCCTCTGGGAGAGCAGTTAGTGCTTTTAACCACTGAGCCATCTCTCCAGCTCTGAGATCTTTATTACCAGAAGTATGTAAATTTTACAGACATGTAAAGTTCCCCAGCACCCGCATGGCAGTTCATACCCATCCAGGGTATCGGAACTAAAAACTATGCTTTTCCCAAATTTTGTAGCAAAAGTATTAACAGGCAATTATCACAATACCATTCCCTTCCACAGCAAGGGCATTTCTTGGAGACTAGTGACCTTAACGTTAAGAAAATGAAGTGTCTTTCTCTTTAAACAACGCACAGTGTTACAGCTGCTATGGCATTTACTCCTAGTTCCAAAGTGCAGACACGCTGCCTTGGGAATGGAAGAACTGCAAGCTGGGAGAGCTACGGTTTTCCCTTAGATTCTTTTCCTCTGTATACTTAAAATTGATGCATCACACCTCTTCAAAACAACACATCCGTTTCCACTTCTGCAGTAATCTAGAGTGTTAAAAAGGAATTGCTGGGACTGGAGCAATGGCTCAGCAGTTAAGACCACTTGCTGCTCTTGCTGAAGACCCAGGCTTAGCTCTCAGCACCCACATGGTAGCTCACAACCACCTGTAACTCCAGTTCCAGGGGATCCAATGCCCTCTTCAGGCCTTCTTAGGCTGCTCACAAGACTCAGGCTCACGTGTGCACGTGCACACACATGAAAGGGGACTACTGTCTCTTCCCACGAGATGTAATTTTCATAGACCATATGGAGACCACAGATGGCATTTTCACAGCTATATCGCCAGTGCATTACTTAACATACAGCAGACAGCTTCCTCAAAATTTTTTTAAATGACTAAGTTGAGGGGCTGGAGAGACAGCTCAGCAGTTAAGACAACTGGCTGCTCTTTCAGAGGACCCGAGTTCAATTTCCAGCACCCTGTTCCAGTTCCAAGGGATCTAACACCTTCACATACAATTAATTTAATTATTTTTAAAAATAACAAAATGACTAAGTTGATACAGGACTTTAAAAAATATTCTTTATTAATTGAATTGATTCATTTAACATCCATACTGCAGTATCCCCCTCCTCTCCTATTCCCTTACCCCACCTTCCCTCTGATACAGGATTTTTAATGTAGAAGTACTACAACTTAATACGTGGCCAGGGGCTAACCGAATCTCACATCATACTTCATAACAGGATTAACATCAATAGAAATCTGTGGAAGTTGATAATAAGCCTACGCTCTCCACTTTCATTGTGTATATTGTGTGTGGCACAACTTCCTCCTGTGAACTGCCGTTTTCAACGTACATCAGCACAAGCTACTTTGCACTACACTGTGGATTTTGCATGAACTCAGCTACCCAAATAGTTACTATTTAACATCAAATAGTTCTAATGAAGCAGTACACAAAGTCCCAGCAAATAATTCTTAAGCTATCAATAAACAGCAATTGATTCTTTACAACCCTCAAGTTGTCATATGTCAGATAGTGCAAGCACATCTCAAACTGTCTGATACTCAAGACCTGGTGATCTGAAACCTTAAAAATCTTAGATCAAGTCCCAACAGGGTTTTTTTTTTAATTGTTTCTTTAAAGCAATTTTACATTATTTTTGTTTTCGAGACAGGGTTTCTCTGTGCAGTCCTGGAACTTACTCTGTACACCAGGCTGGCCTTGAACTCACAACTTTAAAAATGTGCATGGATGTTTTGTCTACATGTCTGTGCACATGTATGCCTGGTGTCTGAGGAAGCCAGAAAACGGTACTGGAGCCCCTGGAACTGGAGTTATAGATGACTGTAAGCTGCCGTGTGGGTCCTCTGGGAGAGCAGATAGAGATGCTAACCACCAAGCATCTCTCCAGCCCTCCAACAGTTCCATCTCCTATGTCCACTGACATAGCCTTAGGCTCTTCATCTGTCAGCAGTGTTCCTATGGCCATTTCTGAAGCTTGAATGGAATGCCTGTTAATCTTAACCAATCAGGAGAGCAGCTCCTTAGAGGAGTTCATAGTGCATTCCAAAGTCCAGCAGAAACTACTTCTTAATTTTTTACGGTTCTTTTATACAGCTTAGTATAGAACTCTCATTGCTACTGAGGTGAAGGCCATTCCTTTGTTTTTTCATAGTCCTTAACTTCATAAAAGGGTACCCTTCCCACACAGTCCATCAAGATATACAAAGAGGGATAGCCTTAGGGATGACTTATCCCAACTCATCAATATTTTGCGGTGGCCCCAGGACAGTCTTTTAATGGTCAATGAGCAGTGTCTTTTATAAAGGAAACAACAGAAGTGTTTCCTTAAGAGAGACTCAGACTAAAATGGATTTACAGTGGTATTAACACCTACTAACCACTAGGAGGTGCTGGACTAGTCTGAATTCATCTCTAGCACCAAAGGCAAGAGCTGAGTGTTGCAAAGAACCACTACAATAATTTTAGAACAGACATGCTCACAGAATAGGGGTATTAATCACTATCCTTTTTGCCTACCAACATAAGCATTTAAAATTATAAGAGCACAGACGATGAACAAATATTTTAAAATTCTTTTATTTCAGAATTGCTGTAATGTACAGACATCATAAAAAAACACACATATACTGGATATTTTCCATGACATAAGAGCTGGAAATAAAGTTTAAGGGCAATTAGGAGAACTGAAATTGTCCCACAGATGTCTGAGGATAGCTCCTCCTTAAATGTCCTTGATCACCTCCTCCAGTTCTTCCTTTGTGAACATGTGGAAATTCTGACCAGGCTGCACCGTGGCTAGCTGCGGAGAAATAGAAAGGGGTTAGTAAGTAAGCTGAGTCGGGCTACTTGCTGATGGCCCTAGCTTGGTCAGAAGTGTTGGTGAGGCAGCTGTTTATTAGGAACTAAGGGATCTGCTGTCCTGGGGTATCCTTTACAGGCGCAGCAGGTCCCTAAAATAACTCTGACTCCCAAATAAAAATTCTCATTGACCAATTTTTCTATTTTGAGGTTAATCCACCACATAACAGTTATGCAAACTGACATCACTGTTACCTCTTAAAGTTACTTCAGTAAGCATTACAAAAGCAAAAACAACATAGTACACAGAGCCGGGCCCTGCAGTGGTGGCGCACACCTTTAATCCCAGCACTCAGGAGGCACAGGCAGGCAGATCTCTGTGAGTTTGAAGCCAGCCTGGTTTACAGAGTGAGTTCTAAGACAGCCAGGGCTACATAGGGAAACCCTGTCTCAAAGCACACTCCCCCCCTCAAAAAAAAAAAAAAAAAGCAAACAAAAAACAAAACACAGAGCTAGTACATTTGCTTTCAGCTAGATTCCTTTAGGGGTAAATAACATTTGTGTGTATGTGTGCGTGTTTGTGTGTATGTATGTATGTATATAGTGGTTATTTTTCATTATATATGAATATATAATTGTTTTTAAAAAGATTTCTTTAATGTATTTTATGAGCATGAGTGCTCTGTCTGCAGGCACGACTGCAAGCCGGAAGAGGACATCGGATCCCATTATAGATGAATGTGAGCTGAAAATTTAACTCAGGACCTTTGGAGGAGCAGTCAGTGCTCTTAACTGCTGAGTCATCTCTCTAGCCCCTAGGAGTGTCTTTAAAGTCCGGCCCAGCCCACAAAGATAGTTCAGGAAGTGAAGACACCTGTCACCCAAGTCTGACTGCCTGAGTATGATCCTCAGATCCCGCTGTGGAAGGACAGACTGACTCTTTAAAAATTTTTCTCTAAGCTCATAGAAATACCACAGTATGTATGTATGCCTGCCCTACACACACTACACATAGAAAATAAAGTACGTGTGCTCATACATGCATGCGCGTGCACGTGTGCACAAACACACACACTTGAATGTAAAAATCAAACTTAGGGTCCAGCATGCCCTAGACAAGCGTCCTAACACTGGGCTATATTCCCAGCCCCAAAGAAATATATTTATGGCACATTTGTAAACTTCCATAATGAACTTGTGTGATATTGGATTACTTGTCCAGCCTGTGTCTTCTCTATTTCCTCACCTGTAAAATGGAAACACTAAATATCCGTAGAGTAGCAGTGAAGATTAAATGTTAATCCATGCAAAGTATTTAGGATGTTAAAACAATTGTTAGCAATGATTCTTTGTTAAGATATTTTCTCTACAGCTGTTCTGTGGCAAAGGGGGTTTTGTTTAAGGGGAGAATGAAGAGCATCCAGCAGCACTGCAAGAGGAAATCATCTTGGGTACCAGTAAACCCGCAGCTGGCAGTGCCAACACCTCCAACCAAAAGAAACACTACCTTAAAGATTTAAGAGACAGCACAGAACCCCAAGATGGGGGAAACCCTGACAAACAGGTGTTAGTTCACATCGGTCTCAGATGGCTAAAGATTTATTTGTTTTTTCAAGTTTACGCTAATATGTGTGGGCCTGCATGATTTTATGGGCACGTGTGGGAGCTTGTGGAAGCCAGAAGCAGGTGTCAGGTCACCTGAAGCTGGCGTTACAGGCAGCTGTGTGCCATCACACGGGTTCTGGGAAACAGTCCGTGCTCTTAACTGCCCGGGCCCCTTCCCGGGCCCCTGTGCTTGTTTTAAATGTCATCTTTTCCATACTGTCTTCTTACATTTTAAAACTGTACACAGTGTATGTTGTATGTGTGAACATGTGTGTTCACATGCAGGTACATGTGTACATGGAGACCAGAGGACAAACTTGGCTGTTGTTCCTTGGGTGCTGTCTACCTTGTTTTTTTTTTTTTTAAAGATTTATTTATTTATTATGTATACAACATTCCTTCCTTCCATGTATGTTTGTATGCCAGAAGAGGGCACCAGATCTCATCACAGATGGTTGTGAGCCACCATGTGGTTGCTGGGAACTGAACTCAGGACCTTTGGAGGAGCAGGCAATGCTCTTAACCACTGAGCCATCTCTCCAGCCCCTGTCTACCTTGTTTTTGTTCAGATACGAACTCTACTTGCCTGGGAATTCACCAAGTAAGCTGGCTGCCTGATGAGCCCCAGGGAGTCGCCTATCTTTGCCTCCTAAACATTGAGATTACAAGCACATACATACCTTCATGCCTGGCATTTTTACATGGATTCTGAAGATCAAACTCAGATCTCTGTAAGCATTGTACTGACTAAACTATCTCCCAACCCCACTCTACAGCATTTAGAAATAGGATTAATTAAAAGTTAGCAGACAAAACTAGCACAGTCTAGTTCTATCGTTATTATTCTTTTTAAATAAGTAAAATTCGGGAGGGGGGGAAGACATCTAACAATCTGATCTGGGAAAAGATAAAAATAAATGCCTTCACCACAAAGCCTGTCTAGTAGATTCTTCCAAAAGATATCTCCAATTACAGAAATGTCTGAAGAACTTCAATTTTATTTTACTAATACATATTAAGCAATGTATTCTAGTCCAGACAGCCTATAAATGAATTCTAAGATTAGGGTACTATAACTATAACTAGAATTCCCACTTCTCTTAAGGTATCTTTACTTCTGCAATATCAGTGAGAACAGACATGCAGTATCAGTAAAAGGAATCAAGACTACTAGGATAGTTCTGTGAGGTCACTCATGTCCCAGGGGTAATCCTCCCAAAAGCTTACAGGAGCTAAAAACAGAAACTTGGCAAACTTTGAATAAAAAGATCCTATAGAACCAGGAGGGAAATGAAAACTAACAGGTTTTGAACCCTGCACTTCCTTCAGGAAGTTACTCATCACTAGGCAAGTAAAAATAACCCATATAATTCACATAATGATATGCATTTACATAATGAATAAGACGTTTTATTATTTCACTCAACTCTTATAAAACCTCCATGAGGAAGGTGCACAGATGTCTTCTCTCTTTATCAATAATCCATGTATATACTAGAGGTGCTAGCAAACAGGACTTGAGCTAAAAGTCCTGCTCCTCACTTCCTAAAGACACCAGAGACTCTCAATGTCACCCGACGTTAGAACAGTGCTGAGTGTTTGGAAGGCCCAGAGGTTCAGGGAGGAGTCAAGGAAAAGGACACTTTTGAGTTGTGTATTAACTGGACAATGAAGGAGAGGAAGTACAGGCTGGATGTGCAAATGCATACAAACATGAATACAATATTTGCAAAATGAGGTAATTCTGTAAGGACAGGTGGAATGGAGGATGAGATGAAGAGGACACTGGCTCACATCTCATGCAGAGTTATATTGTAGCAGTTTAAAAATCTAGAGCCTTAGCTGTGGTGGAACGCACCTATATAAACTCAGCACTAGGTTGAGTCAGGTGACTCAGTGGCTGAGTATATCCTGAACTATACAGAGAATTCCAGGACAGCCTGACCCACCTAGTAAGACCCTATTAAAAACAAACAAAACAAAAAATTTAGAACGTAAAAAAAAAAAGACCTGGGTACAAATCTCAACATAATCATTCACCAGTCATTAAGTAGGCAAAGCTCCAGACTCTGGGAGGGTCTAGAGTGCCTCACTATACAGCATTAGAGACTAGGAGAGGAGGTCAAAGTCTTCTAGGCTTCTGCTGTGAATGACAAGTATACTGGCTGTTCTTATCAACCAGGATGAGAAATATTGGAAGGGGAAGCAGTATTTCTGGAAAGATAGTGTTTAATTTAGGACTGTTGAGCAGGGTGACAGCATTAGACGGTCAGCTGAGAGCTCTAGAGCTGTCAGGAAATACTGACAAGCAGGAGTTACCACAGCAAGGGGCAGTCTTGAGAACTAAAAAGCAGAAATAAATGGTAATGACTAAGGAATGAGTAAGGAGACATAGATACTGAATATAGCTTCTGTTTGGAAAAATAGACTTAGCAATACAGTTATATAGCAGGCTCAAGGAATATCCCACAGCAGTAAAATCTAAGTCAACTGACAAGCCAGGTGCATGTCAACAAGCTGAGTCAAAGTACCCACTTGTATGAAATTCTACAATGCAATACAAACCTACAGTTCTAAGAGACTACAATGGGGCTAGAGGGAACTTGGGAGAGGAGGATAAAAATGTTTGTATTGACCATGGTGGCAGATACAGAGTTATAGTTGTCAAAGGTCAATGAATTCCATACCTAAATGGGTTGATGTTACTGTGTATAACTTATACAGAAAAGTAGATTTCTTTAAAAGACAGGACACACATTAAGTGGAAGATGTTTTTGTTGTTTTTAGAGACAGGGTCTCACTATTGTCCTGTCCTACACAGACTGGACTGGTCTGGACTCCTGCATCATTCCTGTTTCTGCCCCAAGTACTGGGATTACAGGTATATACCACCATGCCCCACTTGTCTGTTTTGCTTTGATAGTCTTGCTATGTGGCCCAGGTTAGCTGGGAACTCAAGCATTGTCTCCAAAGGCTGAAGTTACAGGTGTGTGCTACCACCTTTTTCTTTAAATTTGTCTTTTCGCAGAAGGAGCATCTTGTAGAAGGGATGGATACAAGTGCCAACTGAAAACCTGACCAAGAGGGAAGAAAGGCTTGAGAGCTATACCTCTCACAATGGCTGGGGTAACTTCGGCCATCAGAATCGGAGGAGCATTTGAAGCTCTAAGTCTTGGGCCTCTTTTCCAAAGACTCTCAGGCTGAGAGCTGCAGTAAGAGCCCTGCTGCAGTGAAAGAGCAAGAAGACTGAGAGTTGGAGGTCACTGTGCTCACTGAGCCCAGACACCATACTGAAGGAACTAGGAGTATCTCTGTAGTGAAACTTGAACCAATCAAGTCCGAGAGCCTTGACTGAAACCAAGACTACATATGAATTTGCTGAGGTGCCGAGACTCACTCCTCCAGGACCAGAGACTATCAGAAAGGGCTGACATCTCCCCGAAGGGTCAACATCATCAGTAGTTACTCTGCCACACATCTCTGAGACTGCCGAGAGGAATAATTTTAAAATGCCTGTTAAGGTAAAAGTTGGGGTTGCAGAGATGGCTGAGTGACTAAGAGCGCTGACTGTTCTTCCAGAGGATCCGGGTTTAATGCCCAGCACCCACATAGCAGCTCATAACTGTCTGCAACTGCAGTTCCAGGAGATCTGATACCTTCACACCAATGCACACAAAATAAATCAGTGAAAATAATTTTTTTTTTTAAAAGTGAAAGTCGCCAAGGAACCCTACAGCAGTAAAGAGACTACTGACACCGCCAGGCGAACTTCAGAACCAGTGCTGAGTCAATGAAGGCACAAAGCAGCACGTGTTATACAACTCCACTGACATGAGATTCTAGGGTGTAACTTCAGGGTATTTCCCACTGGAAACACAGTAAAGCTCCTTTCTACTTCTGCTCAAAGATAAGCCAGGTCCCTACAATTCCTTGGGACTCTGCTTTCTAGTACCCACCTTTGCCCCTTTTGTGGCAGCCTCTGAAACCAACAAGATGCCAGGGCTCTCCATGCTTGCCTTTAGCTAACCAATCATCCACCAGGGATTAACCCCACCACTCCACCCAGACACCCTGGTTGGTGCTGGTTTGATTTAATACTGACTTGTGATTTATAGCATCAGATATAATAGTGCTTTTCAAGCTTCTTTAAAAACAGAAATAGCCCCATATTATATGTTCTGTATCTCGGGATAACCTCTCCTCTAGCCTGAGCCAGTACTTAAGCGTAGTCCAGCATCTTCCCCATCCTTCCTATCTGAAATGTCTTGTTCTTCAGTAGTCCCCATTCTCCTTCATCTCAGCTGCGTTCACCCACTCGGCAAACGACCTAACAATTCCTAGGCAAACACAGGACGTCTCTCCCTGTTTACTTAAGCCGACACGTGCACTCATCATGACCTCCTTTTCTCCTGTCTACTGTGAACGTCCTAAGTAAGAACATCCAGAACTTGACCTGTGGTCCCCAGTCTTGATTATTTGCCAGCCCTCTATTCCACAACCCAGCAAAAGGAAAAAAGAAAAAGAATTCCCGCTTGAGTTTTACTTTTTACAATGCTGAGGAGAGAACACTGTGTTAGGCAAGCGCTCTACTGCTGAGCTGCACCCATGGCCCCAACCCTTTGATCTGCTGCATATGCTATAATTCCCTTTCCTGGGATGTATTTTGCCTCCCTCCTCCAGGATGCTTGCCTACTCTCGTCACAAGTTACCGAGAAATCTGTTCTTACAGCATTCAGAAGTTCCACCCACACCCTAATTATCTGTGTATCCCTTATACTGCACAGCACACTGCTTAGCTAGGGATTGGATTTCTTATGTTCTTTGCCTGCATCCAGCATACTACCTAAAACAAAGCTGGGGTCCCATATATCAGGGTCTCAAGAACAATGCTGAATTAATTTTATTTTTTGAAACACTGTTATCTGTGCTGTTTTCACCTTTTTACAGCTTTCTCTACATTAATTTTTTTCTTGTTTCTTCAATGCTGCTTTTTGCTAATGTTAATGGGTCATAAGAAAGAACCCTGTTTTTCCTTCACTCTTAAATTCACTGTACTCTGGATCCCACTGTGACCTCATTAATGCTGATTATTACTCAAATGAAATCAATGACCTAAAAACAGTGCACGCAGAATGACTTCCTTGATCTACCCAGCCTTCACCAGTGGAAGCAATAGCACTGTCAAGTCACAGCAGAGCAGGAAGGTACCTCTATGTTCGTGGCGTTCAGCTTTTCCTCCATTACTTGTTTGAGAATGATGAGCGAAGACTTGATGGCTTCTTTCAGTGTCATAGACTTAAAGAGAGTGAGATGAGCTGTTAGTGAACACATCCCTTCCTTCAGCCCTCTCCCCTCCTCAGAAGAAGCGGCTTTGCCAATATTAATAAACTTTACATCGTATTATACATTATATAATAATATAAATATTCAAGTATATGACAAGTAGAATATACTGATTCAGAAGAAAAATGTCTTACTTTGTGCTGCTAACTCACACATAGCAAATGATCATTGAGAAAGAGAGAAAGGCCACACATCTCTAGTGTACACTTGAATTCCTTGATTTAGAAGATAACATAACCTGGGCAATATTCTAACAATGCCCAATTCACCTAAAAAGGAAATCCAATGATTCAGAAAATCCAGTTTTCATTTTATTTTACCTGTGTTAGGGTTCCTATTGCTGTGATAAACACCATGACCAAAAGCAACTTAGGAAGGAAAGGGTTTGTTTCCCTTAGAGCTCTTAGGCCCCACTTTATGACCGAGGGAGGTCAAGGCAGAGAAAGAAGCAAAGGCTGTGGGGGAGTGCTGCTTACTGCTTCTTCCTCCTGCCTTGTTTGGTTTGCTTTCTTTGGGTTTGTTTGTTTTTGTTTTGTTTTTCAAGACGGGGTTTCTCTGTAGCTTTGGAGCCTGTAGTGGAACTAGCTCTTGGAGACCAGGCTGGTCTCGAACTCACAGAGATCCACCTGCCTCTGCCTCCCAAGTGCTGGGATTAAAGGTGTGCACCACCACCACCTGTCGGTTTGATTTTTTTAGAGACCCCAGAAACACCTGCAGAGAGATGGCACTACCACAGTGAGCTGGACCCACCCACACCAATCACTAGATCAAGAAAATGTCCTATAGATTTGCCTACAGGCCAATCTGATGAGGTACTCTCTCAACTGAATTTCCGCTTCCCACATGGCTCTAACTTGTGTCAGGCTGATACACATAAAGTTAAATGAATAAATAAGAGGCACCAACTAGGACACCGACCACACCTCATGTCCTCCACATCCAACATCTGTACTACTGCCAATGGCATTTTATTGTGATTTGTTTTGCAGCACTGAGCTGGTGCTACAGGTCTGTGGCAACCCTATGGTGAACAAGTTTACTGGGGACATTTTTCTAAAAGCATAAGATTACTTTGTGTCTCTGTGCTATTTCTGACTAATTGTCACAATAGTTTGAACTTCAATTTTTTGTTTGTTTGCTTTTTTGAGACAGGGTCTCTGTGTAGCCCTGGTTGTTCTGAAACTTCCTCTGTAGACCAGGCTGGCCTCAAACTCAAGAGATCCACCTGCCTCTGCGTGCTGGAATTAAAGGCGTACACCTCCACCACCTGGCTTAACTTCAATATTATCTATCACCCTTCCCCCCTCTTTTCTTTTGTGTGTGAATGTTCATGTGTGTGCAGAGTCATGAGAGGCAGGGTTGAACGTGCATGCATGTGGATGGAGGTCGGAAGACAACCTTAGATGTTATTCTTCAGATACCTTTAAAAGTGGTTGAAACCAATCTCTCACTGGCCTGGAATTCACGAGAATGCTAGGCTGCCTAGCAAGTGACCCCCAGTGATCCACCTGTCTTTGCCTCCGGAGCATTGGGAATACAAGCCTGTGTGCTACAGGATCTGGCTGTCCTCCCCCTTTTAATGATATGTGTCTCTGTGTGGGTATACACACGAGAGCAGGGGCCCACAGAAAGGGTGCCAGATCCCCTGGAGCTGGAGTTACAGGGAGCTGTGAGTCACCTGTCCAGTCCCCTGTAACAGCAGTGTGTTCTCTAACCACTGACACGTCTCTCCAGCATTGCTGGCTTTTATTAATGAGGATTCTGGGTACCATGCTTACAAAAGAAGCACTTTACTAAGGAATATAGCAAGTCACCTTTGATACTGTTGCTGTAACTGCTCTGGGGTGCCACCAGTCTCACAGGCAATGCTAACGCTAACAAATGTAGCAGCTGTCTGACGGTGCTACAGTCCATCTACTCTGGGGCTTCTCTATATTCCAAGACACAATAACACTAAAATGAGGTCAATTCATAACTGTAATGACTTCCAAGGATACCAGTAAAGGGAAGAGACACATGCCCTTTTTTAAACCAAAAACTCACAGTGGTAAAGCTTAGAGTTGATCAAAGTTTGAGTTGGGCTGAAAGCTAGCCCTCTTGTGCTGAACAGGTAAGCAAGCTGGGAAGAGAAAGGAAAAGCCCTCTTTAAAAATTATTTTATTTGTGTGTGTAGGTACCCACAGGAGTCAGAAAAGGATGTTAGATCCCTTAGAGCTGGTGTTACTGGCATTTGTGAGCCACCAAATATAGGTACTGGGATCTGATAGAGCAGTAAGTACTCTTAACTGCTGAGCGCCATCTTTCTAGGCCCAAGAGGAAATTCAAAGTGCTACAAGTGCTACTCCAGTGAACATGTGACTGGTAAGAAAGTAGAACAGTCTGGGTATGGTGGTGCACGCCCTTAATCCCAATACTCATGAGGCAGAGGCAGGCGGCTCTTTGCAGAGCTTGAGGCCATACTGGACTACTCGAGTTCCAGGCCAGCCCCCATGGATGGTTACACAGTAAGACCCTGTCAAAGAGAAAAGAACGAGAAATTAAGATGGGCTGGAGAGACAGCTTAGTGATTAGGAGCATTTATTGCTTTTATAGCAGCCCTGGGCTCACTTCCCAGCACCCACATGATGGCTTACAATCATGTACAACTCTAGTCCTATGGGACATGACACCTTTTTCTGGCCTCCAAGGGTACTGCATGTACGTGGTACACAGACATACAGGTAAGACAACGATACACACAAAATAAAATCTTAGAGTCGGGGCTAGAAAGTTGGCTCAGAGGTTAAGAGCACTGGCTGCTCTTTTAAAGGTTCTGAATTCAATTCCCAGAACCCACATGGTGGCTCACAGCCCTCTATAATGTGATCTGATTCCCTCTTCTAGTATGTAGGCAAACATGCAGACAGAATACTGTATACATAATAAATAAATCTTTAAAAGAAAAAAGGAAGAAAGAAGAAAAGTCAAACAGCTTTTTAAGAGCTGGTATGAAGTTTTAGTGACTGAACAATCAAACCAGTTACAACATTCCTTTAGACCAAAGGCTACTCCACAGCAAAGCTCTAACTTCTTCATCTCAACAAAAGCTGAGGCGAGGAAGCTGCAGGAGAAAAGCTAGAAGCCAGCAGAGGTTGGTTCATGTGGCTTAAGAAAAACCGGCCTTTGGCCAAGAGCAGGTGGTGCACACCTTTAATCCAGTGCTCAGGAGGCAGACACAGGCGGATCTCTGTGAGTTCTCGTAACAGCAGATAAATCAAGTGACATCCAGGCTGCAGGGCTTTCGTTTCTAGAATCAGGGACTGAGCTCACAGCCTCATATATGCTGGACAAGTGTTCTCCCAGGGAGCTGTCTTCCCGGCCCCCTCTCCCCTTTTTATATTACATACGCTTAGCTGATGAAGCACAACAACAGCCTGAACACTGATCCCAGTTTGGAAAGAAAATTCTGTGGGGAGACACTATTACACACCATCATATGCTACAGCAAATCTTTCATGAAGGTAACAGTTAATTGATGCCATGAACTCTCTTGTATCCCTTAAGAAAGTGTCACGGTCACCCCAACCTCAGCGCCATGGGAAAAGAATTAAAAAATAAAATAAAAAGTCTCTGCTAAAGGCTCAGATGATTACTATCATTTTTAGCAATAAAAAATTGTGGTTAAACTATGAAATCTTTCAAAGACATAATGGTACTGCACTGTGGTGGTTTAAATGAGAAACGCTCCCCACGGGCTTTAGTATTTGAGTACTTGGTCTCCAGTTAGAGGTACTATTTGGGGAGGTTTAGGGAAATATTTGCTGGAGCAAGTATTCACTGGGGGCAGTCTTTGAGAGCTTAAAGCCTCACCCTGTTTCCAGTTTCCTCTCCCTGCCTCTTGCACTGAGGATGTGAGTTCTCCTCCTCACTCCTCACAGGTGCTGCTGTGCCTGCCACCTGCTGCTATGCCTCTCCATCACGATGGACTCTTATCCCTCTGGAATTAAGCCCAAATAAATTCTTCCCTCTATAAATCGCCATGGTCATAATGTTCTACATAGCAAAGGAAAAGTAACAAAATCAGAGGATACAGTATAATGTAGCCCTAACTTTTGTATAGACTCATCTCTATACCAAACCCAAAAATACCTTTTAAGCATCCCTACATCAGGTGTTGATGTGAGCAAATATCCTTATGAGAGCCACCCAGGGATATGCATGGTAGCCTTCAACCATATCCATGAGTCACAAAACCCCAAGCCTTCCCATTCCAGAAATAAAGTAGCAGGTGCTCACTTGTCTTAATATCCACACTAGGCATTATCACTGCTAAATGAAGCTGTGAAGAGAGAGGACAACACTGCCTGGTCTATACAGCGAACACTGGGACAACACAGAGAGATCCTGTCTCCAAAACTAAAAAGCTCAGTGGCTTCACTTCCAGCACAGACTCACAACAACTGGAAGGCAAGCTGTATTAATTTCATTCATGAAAAGTACAAGAACAGACAAAACTACACCGGTAAATACAGTTGCAAATGAGGAAAAAGATTAATAAGTAGATAGTTTTGCTAGAAAAATAGTGTTTGATGTCTTGCTTTAGGTTGTGAATCCAAGGTGACTGTCAAAACTTAGAACAAAACTCTTCAGGCCTATAGTTTTAATTACAGAGAAGTTATAAGATTACAGAGACTTATAAAATGACAGTGAAATTGATAACAATGGTTGATTACCTTGTGGTAAACTTCTTGCAAGGAGCTCTGGGCACCCTCTGAAGCAGAGCCGATTGCTCGAGCATCGCACTGTACAAAGGTCCCAGATGGGTCCATATGGAACCTGAAAAGGACAACAATGCTGTAGAGGGAAGCATTCCATGCCACAAATGCCTCGATGACAGAAGTCTGAGCATCTCACCCTGCAGCCAGGACACACTACTCAAGTATTGAGGCATAGTTCCTAAAACTTTTTGTTTTGAGAAAATAGTTCTTTTTAAAGGTCCTTACTACTGATATATGCATCTGCACACACAGAAATGCCACAATGAGACCCACTTTGTGTGCTAATCAAAAAATTCACTTAAAATAATATTTTATTTTAAAAAAGAAAATGTTAAGAAAATCTCTAGCAACTCAATGGACCACATTACAGCCTTTACAGGAGTCTTTGTTTGTGTTGGTTTGTTTGTTTTTGCTTTGTTTCTTTGTTTTGGGGTTTTCTTTTACATTTTGTTTCTGGTGGGAGGTTACAAGTGCAGGGAGCAGATTTAAGGGGTACTGGAGGTAAGTGGTATTGGGAAGAATGATGGGAAATCCACAAAAAATAAAAGTTACAAAAAAAAAAAAAAAAAGAAAAGAAAATCATTAGCTTCCTCAGGGTCTTGGGAAGGAAGAACAGAGCAAGTATACATAACCCATGCACTTATGTACACCCAAGATGTTAACAGAATGACCATGGTACTTATAACAGTCTTAATCAATAGTCAAACTTATCTTTGACACAACAATGTGAGGATGAAGATCAGGTGGGAATAACAATAAGGTAACTTCTAATTCTTCTGAGAATTAGCATTGCGTCTATATAGGTTTTCCATGAATCCCTAAATTCTTGCATAAACAAAACAGAAACACTGACTCAGAAGCCCTACTTTTTCCTAAAGAATGCTTCTTTCTTTTTACTTTTTTTTTTTCATTTAATTTATGTTTGTTTGTTTGTTTGCTGGTTGGTTTTTCAAGGCAAGGTTTCTATGTATCCTTGACTATCCTGGAACTTGCTCTGTAGGGGGGGGGGGGGAGGGGTGAGGGGCCCTCAAACTCAGAGATGCCTGCCTCTGACTCGCGAGTTCTGGGATTGAAGGTGTGCAACACCACTCAGTTGTTTCTTTCCTTTTAAAGCAGAGTGGCTCAAGACTGGTTTGTAACTTACTATGTAGCCACGGACAAACTTAAACTTATTCTTCTGCCTACACCTTCAGAACACCAGGAATAAAGGCATGCTCCTCCACACTGTTTTTATGTGGTAGTGGGGTGAAACCAAGAGCTTTGTGTATACTAAGCAAGCACCCTACCAACTGAGTTATGTTTCTAACTCTTTCTAACTCTTCAGTAAACTTCAGAGTTGATCTAAACAACTAGACCACACTACAAATCATAATCATCACCACTACCCTAAAGCAGGGAGGGTGGGAATGGTACTTACAGCTGGGGTCCTTTCTCATCAACTCCTCCAAACAACAATGCTACTCCAAAGGGACGAGACTAGAACCAAAAAAAAATTCATTTAGAAGAGACTACAAATAACGAGAGTGGGGAAAACATGGGCAGAGGACAAATGCCCTCAGTACTACAGAACAGCAACCAGGCATCAGAACTAACTCACCATGGCACCTGGATCTGCATCTTCTTCTCCAAACTGCAAAGCCAGATTGGACACAGCCTGGGTGACACTCTCCACTGTCATTGTCTCATTATAGGTGAACCAATGGTTCTAGAAAAAGGGCAAAGAATGATACTGCTTCCCTGGAAAAGGGAAACTCAAAATAGTCCACCACTTCTCTACCAAGTGAAAATTGAGGTTCGCATTCCTCTTCCTGTTTCTGAGACAGGGTCTCACCACATATCACAGAAGTAGAACTTGCAATCCTCCTCCTACCTTAGCCTCCCAAGGGCTAGGATGACAGATCACCTGCCCAAATCAACACCTTCTTGATTAATACTAGCCACTGAATACTTGGGACTATATCAGAGAGGGACAAGTCTGATTGCCAGATGCTATGGCATATGCCCGTGATCCATGCCATCAGGAGGATCATGAGCTCAAGGTGAGGCTGGGCTGTACGCAGAAAGATCATGTCTCAAGAGGGAGCAGAGGAAAACGAAGGTGAGAAGAGCAGGTGAGAGAGCACATGCGTGTACACACAGATAAGCTCTGAAAATAAGACAGGCTGCTAGCCTTAAAGACTAGGGCTGACATCTAAGAGTAAAGTGGCAAGTTCAGCCTTCTAACAGTCAATGTTAGTAACCAAGTGTCAATTTTCCTCACTCATCTTTCCCTGTTAGAGCTTATGTTAAATTACTCTTACATAAGTATGGAAAACAAGCATGCAAATAAAAGCAGAAACGTCTACCTTGCAATTATTTTTCTTCCTATACTAGCATATTACAGTCAAACCAGATACCCATTGGTTTCTTTGTGGTTTTTGGTTTTATTAAAGAAAATCAACATTCTTAAAAAGTCATCTGGTACAAATCATTGCTTACCAGATGAGATCAATTTTATAAGCCTGGCAGAAAAGGCATTTTACTATGACCCCATTCCACAGAAAGCCAATCAGAGGATACTGTGCATGCTTTACATAAGGTAATCCTGGAAGAAGCTGACCAGAACCTGCTTTAAGCTGCAATGCCTGGAGAGCTAAATTCCAAGTCCCCGGGGTTGTAGCAGGGGAATCAACCCACAACGCTCCCAAGAGCCATGTCTAATAGTAACACAGACACCTGCAATATCACCCAAGCAGTTCTATCATCATTAAACAAGGAGCACATGCATCACAGTGAAAAGCAGAGAAGATGCTGATTTACCTGTGTCTCCACTCTGGCTTTATCAATTAAAGTTTTAGCATCAGCAATTAGCCCACTCATGGCACAACCTGCAATGTAAAAGTAACAGTGACCAACCGGCCAAAACTTTCTAGAACTTTTCATCCACTAAGTAAATACTAAAAATCTGGCCTGGAACCATGGCAGCAATCTCACAGCAATCAACCCAACAGAATAAATGGGAAACGAAGACCACTGAGTACAGGTATAATGATCATACAATAGAAAACCAACCATGTTGACAGTCAAGTGCAGACAGTAAGCTAGCCGAACACGAATGTCCACAGACCGCAGCCTACGAGTCCCTGTACAAATCGTACAGAGCACAACACACCTAACATGCACTTTCATCATTATTAGCTTATCTGTGTGTACGTGTACAGTGTGTGTGAGAGTGGGTGCTCATGTCCCACAATGCGTGTAGAGGTCAGTTCTCTTCCTCTCACCTTTTATCTGAGTTCCAGGGATGGAACTCAAGTCACCAGGTTTATGCGTCACGTGCCTTTACCCACTGAGCCACCTTGCTAGCCCCATGATGCACTTCTGAGCTAAGCAAACACTACAACCAAACCTGAGAAGATGAAACTATTTCACTGTAGACTGCATCAGAAGACCCCAGGAAAACATCAAAAGCCCCTCAATTCCCTATTCCAACAAACCAACTAGTTATTTTAGAGAGAAAGTTGCCTGATGGACGAACGTGCCAAGATTACGGCTGTAATTGCTACTTCTACGCCATGACTCAAATCTCAATCTCAGTCTGTGTTTCTCTCCAAAGCTTCAGATCTATGAAGTCAAATGACTCTCAGTCCATCTACTTGGATACTACAGTCTCAACTCACTTCCCTTGGCCTTCACAACCAATCAGATCCTAAGTTCTCTTTTGGCTACTGCCTTCATTGAAAAATTTCATAATTTGGCTGATGACCAAATACTTGAACTACTAAAAACATTTTTTTTTAGAATGCTTCATGAATTTACATGTCATCTTTACACAGGGGCCATTTTGTTGTTGCTGTTTTGTTTTTAGTTTTTCGAGACCGGGTTCCTCTGGGTAATAGCTCTGTCTGTCATGGAACTCACTTTATAGACTAAATTGTCCTCAAACTCAAAGATTCACTTGCCTCTGCCTCTTGAGTGCTGGGATAAAAGATGCGCACCACCACTGCCTGACTATACTAAAAATTTTCTTAACTATTAACTCCCCTGCCTCCATGCTCAGCCCCCATCAACCTACCTTCAAAAACTGTCAGGAAAATATTCTAAAATTACTGGGGTTGCAGTGTCCTCACTGTTTAGACCACTTCCTAGCAATGCAAAAGTAAATGTCCAAGCCCTTTAGCAGGATTGGGGAGGGGGATTTTCTATTCTCTGACCTCCAGACTCGTCTCTTGCCATACAGACTTCACTTTCCAATCATGCTAAAATGTGAATACCCTGATACTTTACAGCAGGCAGCTTTGCTTTTCTAAGGCCTCATACATCAGCACATCCATTTCCAGCCCTATTCTTATTTTTAGTTTTGTAACAGAACCTTCCCTAAATTGCCCAGACTAGCCTTAAACTCATTCTGAAACTCTGACTGGCTATAGTCTAGCTGCTCAGCCTCTCAGCGCTGGAATTAGAGGCCTGAGCTACCAGGCTTGGCAAACTCAACCATGATGGCTAATCTTCACTTTCTACTGATAGAGTTTAGAATAGGGGAGACCGAGGCAATACCTCCTGGTGTGTCTGGGGCAGGTTTCCAAAGGATTAACAAAACAGGGAAGACCCATTAGAGTGTGGGTAGCTGGGCTGGGGCTACAGGTAGAATAAAATGGAAAAAGGAGAAAGCCAGGGACTAACACAAGCAGTCTTCTCTACTGCAGGTCTCCTATGATGTAAACACAGATGTTCACAATGCTTTCACCATGATGACAGTGAATCCTCTGAAACTGTGAGCGGGCCAAAAGAAAGGTTCCTTCTCTTAAGTTGTCAGATCTTTGGTCACAGTGTAGAAAAAATAACTAATATCCATGACCAATGAGCCCAGATAAAACTCTTTCTCTTTCATCTCCTCACTGATCACACTGCACCACACAAATAAGACTGCCTGTTCCTGGAAGACAAACACCATGTCTCCCTCTTGTCTATAGCTGTGGAGTCTAGTATAGCGTTTTCTATCTTTGAATGAAGTGACATTGAGCTATCTCCAAAAGACAGTTGATCTGAGATACAGCAGACATGATGTTTCAATTGTAAAATCTGCTTCTCTAGAAACAAAGAGAATACTACGCTCCCAGTTACCATGGCATTTAGTTCTTATGGCCTTTAAGCAATTAATTATTTTGCAAATATTGTATTAATTAGGTTGAGTAAATAAGATAAGCAAATCTGAATAGCCAACTACAACACAAAGCAGTAAAATGTAAAAGTACATATTGTTTAATGCTACAATGTCAAGAGCCAAAGCAAGAAAATTATACTGAAGACCAGAGAAAGGAGGTAAAGGTAGCCGGGAGAAAAACAATTAAGTCTAACACACAGGGATAGGGTTGATCTGGTCAACTGTTAACACTTTGAACCTTAAACACTCCAAAGATCTTCGAGAATTATTCTTTCTCAGTGGACATTACAATTTTCCATACTATCTTGGCTCTAGCTTGCTTACTATCGGGGTAAAATGGCCATCACAAGAACTAGCTTAGGATCCAATCTTTTTGTATTTAAATATCATATTTGCCAATGGCTGGGTTATAGTTCAGTGGTAGAACACTTGCCTAGCACCTGAGTGTATCTGGGTTCAATTCCAAGCACTGCAGAAAGTAAAATACAGCAAATTTGAAGATGAAAAGAATTCCCAGTAGTAGGTCAAGCATAACGAGTCCTGAGACTGCTCTACTGCTTCCCACCTTGAAGATAACAGGGAATCAGAAGGTAAGCATTTGCTGTATGAACCTCCCTTGGATCACAGAAGATTAACTAACCAATGCCAAATCTTCTCATAGCTTCCACTTATTACTTACCTATATGAGCATCAATCTCTACAATTTTCTCGATGCTACTAGGCTCCATTAGTGGGGAGGTAATTCTCTTCTCCACAGCTAGACATACGCCCTCTGATGTCTGGATGCCAATGGCCGTAGAACCAAGCTAAAACAAAACAAGACAAACAAACAAAAACCATGCTGCAGTTATAATGCACAGCTCAAAGAAATCTCTGCATACCTAGTATGCAGGAGAACAGAGAACACCTAATAAACACTACACTGCTCTGTGAACAGCAAAAGCACTTACAGAATTCTGTACTTTGGAAGAGGAAGTCTGGGACGTGGGGGAGCATGGGAAGCTCCATGGCAGAGTGTTCACCTTGAATGAGCAAGTCTGGTTCAGTCCCCAGTACCAAAAATGGGGTGGGCATCCCACAAGGTCCGAACACATCTGAAAACTGACCTATGTTAACACTAATCCTGGGAGGAGGAATTCTAAAGTTCTAATCATAGTTTTTCTTCTTTTTTGTATTTTTCCCCCTCGAATTCATGACTTTTACCTCTGCTATGTCTACTGGTCTGTCCAATAGGTTATGCTCCCCAAGCCCATGTCATCTCTGGGAAAGAAAAAGAGGAAAGGAGAGTGGGAAAAGAAAGGACCACCATCCTCACTCGGCATAGTCAGCTGCTAACTTAATCCAAAGTCACCAGCAGTCCACACTACAGTACGTCCACCTCCCCGCACCGCTCCAGTCACCCCTCATCACTGCGTGTCTCAATTCTGTCTGCACAATGAAGACATAACACCTACATCAAGAAAGTGGTACCTACCACATAATAAACAAATGTCGGTCCTGCTACATTGCCACCCCATTCCTCTGAGAAAAGATCTTATCATGTAACTCTAGCGGAGCTGAAATTTGTTATGTAGTCCGAGCTTGCTTCTGCCTCCCAAAGTATGAGCCACAACCCTGTCTCATCTCTAGTCTCCTGCTCATCTCTTATTGATACACTGATTTAAAAAAAATGCTATCTTCACTATATTTCTCTCAAGAACTGATACTCTCTGTATTGTCTGTAAGTTAAAAACCAAATGAGGCTCTCATAATCACAATCTTTCACCTTCAACTTTATCCCTCACTATTAATGGACAAACCCTTAGCACAGCTCAACCCTCAGCAACACTAGCTGTCTACCAGAACCCTTCCTAAAGCTGTCTCCTGTAGAATATACTCTTCCTTCTGCCTCTCCAAATTTATCCACTACTCAAAGCCTCCTAAGACCACGTTTTATGCCCTGGATCTCCACTGTATCTTCTTAGTTCTATAAAACAATGACCCACCAACTGTGAGCATCACACTTGATTAAGCCTGTTATGGTTAAAAAAAAAAAAAAAGACCCACAGAATTCCATGAATCTTTTTAAAATTTAATTCGTTTTTATTTATGTGTTTCTCTGTGTATGTGCACTGTATGAGGGTGCCTGCAGAGGCCAGAAGAAGGCATTAGATCCCAAAGCCTAGAATAATAGGCAGTTGTGAGTCACCCACAACAGAACCCTTGAAGAGCAACAAGAGCTCTTAACCACTGAGCCATCTCTCCAGCTCCTCCATGAAACCACACACAGAACATGTTTAATATGTCTTTTGTTTGTTTGTTTGTTATTTGAGACAGGGTTTTCTCTGTGTCACAGATCTGACTGTTGTAGAACTCACTCTTTATTCTAGGCTGCCCTCGAACTTACAGAGATTCGCCAGCCTCTGCTTCCAGAGTACTGGAATTAAAGGCATGTGCCACCACTGCCCAGAGTTTAACAAGTCTTTAGACTAAATGTTATCAAAATATTTCTGTCTAATCTCTGACATGAAGCAACTTGCAGGAGGAAAGGTTTGCTTTGGCTCAGAGATGGAGGAGATACAGTTCCTAACACAGGAGGGCAAGGAGGGTGACAGGAACAGGAGCGGCTGTTCACACTGCACAACCACCAGGAAAGAGCAATGGATGCTAGTGATCAGCAAGCTCTCTCTCCTCTTTTTTAATTTTATTGAGCTCTACATTTTTCTCTGCTCCCCTCCCTGCCACTCCTCTCCCAAGGTCCCCATGCTCCCAATTTACTCATGAGATATTGTCTTTTTCTACTTCCCATGTAGATTAGATCTATTTATGTCTCTCTTAGTGTCCTCATTGTTGTCTAGGTTCTATGGGATTGTGATTTGTAGGCTGGTTTTCTTTGCTTTAAGTTTAAAAACCACTTATGAGTGAGTACATATGATAGGTGTCTTTCTGGGTCTGGGTTACCACACTCAATGTTTTCTAGCTTTATCCATTTGCCTGCAAAATTCAAGATGTCGTTATTTTTTTCTCTGCTGTGTAGTACTCCATTATATAAATGTATCACATTTTCCTTATCCATTCTTCGGCTGAGGGGCATTTAGGTTGTTTCCAGGTTCTGGCTATGACAAACAAAGCTGCTATTAACATAGTGGACACATATCCTTGTGGCATGATTGAGCATCCTTTGGATATATACCCAAAAGTGGTATTGCTGGGTCTTGAGGAAGGTTGTTTCCTAATTTTCTGAGAAATCACCATACTGATATCCAAAGGGACTGTACCAGCTTGCACTCCCACCAACAATGCAGGAGTGTTCCCTTTACCCCACAACCTCTCCAGCATAAGTTGTCACCAGTGTTTTTGATCTTGGCCATTCTTAGGGTGTAAGATGGAATCTCAGAGTTGTTTTGATTTGCAAGCTCTCTTTTTACGAAGTGCAAGATCAAAGCCCACAACTGTTGCCACCCTCATTTAAGGTAAGCCTTCCCAGCACAGTTAACTTATTGTGAAAACCCAGAGGTTTGCCTCTTCAGTGATTCTAGATCCTGTTAAGCTGACAATCATTACTCATGAGTACATCATGTCTCATATATATATTTTACTCTCAAATGTATAAAATTCTAACTTTACTTAGAAGTATTATTAAATGTACACCAGCTTCTTATTTCATTTTGGGCAACTAATTTTGGTTTTGAGATAGGGTTGTCTAGGCTAGCTTCAAAATTATGAGTCTCCTGTCTTAGTCTTTCATTACCACCCTGGACCCCCACTTTTTAAACAAAGGATACCTGTGAAACTATAGCAGATTGCCAAAAACTCTTATGTAACTAGTGAATGCCCTAACGTCTTACTAAGGATGCAAACTGCACACATATATAAGGTCCACTTCCTCCTCAAATTTGTGACTATAATAAAGGCCTTCTAAAATAAACAGGCATAATCCCATGAGGACAAACAATGGAAGAGAGACTGCTTTAAGTTTGGTAGCTCATGCCTATAATCTCAACTACCAGGAAAGCTGAGTAAGGAGGATCAGAAAGTTCAAGGCTTGCCTAAGCTACATGAGTCCAAGGCCAGCTTGTTAATTTAATGAGATTCTGTTTTTTTGTTTGTTTTCTCTTTTTAAGACAGGGTTTCTCTGTACAGCCCTGGCCATCTTGGAACTCTCTCTGTAGACCAGGCTGGCCTTGAACTTAGAGCTCTACCTGCCTCTGCCTCCTGATTGCAGGGATTAAAGGTAAGCACTACCATGCTCAGCTAGATTCTGTCTTAAACTAAAACTGAGGCTACTGATTAATGGTAGAATACACACCCTAGACCATGAGTCCACTTGCCAGTGCTGCCAGAAATGAAAAAAGAAACCCATTCCCAGGCTACTTCTACACTAAGGGTTCTGGTGTCTTCTTCTGGCCTCTGAAGGCACTACATACACATGGTATAAATACATGCAAGTAAAACCACCCAAACACATAAAAAATAAAATAAATCTAAAAATAAAGTTTAAAGTACTGCTCTAGGAAACTGAAAACAGATGGTATGAACCTTAGGGCCCGTTTCTTTTTAACACAATTTATAGAGCCATTTTAACTTTGACTCTAAAACTATACTGGTGCGTGCCCTAAAAATTAAAATAGTAACAATAATAAATACAAAACCACTGCCTAGAAAATTATACATAAGACTTATGTGTTCCCTAATTGCCATAATTTTTAAATTTGGGCACAGACTGAACCTCGGACCTCTCATTGGCCAGGCAAGCACCCTACCACGGCGTCACACCCCGGCCACTCTACCACAGCACCACAGCTACAGCTACTCACTGCACAAAACAGAACCAAATTCACATCCACTTTTAATTTTTCCTAGTAAAGCAACTCTCAAATGGGGCTCTCTTGCCCCTACCAAATTCAACAAATCTAGAGCATTTCGCAGGTAAGTGCCATTGGCGTCTAACAGGTAGAGAAGGCCCCACAAAGTAGTTATTCAGTTCAATCATATAGAAAACTGGCTTCACAACACAAAACACGTTATCAGTCTACTTAATTTGGATTTCAATTTTCTAATAATAATAATCATAATAACAAGAGGCCAATATTTCTGAGGTTATTTTATAAAATATATCAAGGCCAGCAAGATGACTCAGCAGGTAAAGACCTGACACAAAGCCTGACAACCTGAGCTCAGCTCCTGAATTTCCTGACCAAAGGAGAACCAACTCCTGGAAGTTGTCCTCTAATTTCATACGTGCCAGACTATGTAAACACATGAACACACAGGGTATCAAAATCCAAGATTTTTTAATATCTGTATACTCTAATGCTTAAAGTTCTCCTCCTAGCCACCTTTGCAGACTGAGGAAAGGTAGGAGACAAGGCACATCTGAACTACATCTTGTGTGCTATTCCCTGAACATAACAGTAATGCAACCAGTGTCAGACACCTAAGATAGTAACTTGATATTACCACAGGTCTGAGAACCCATTCTAAAGGTGCATGCCCTGCCAATGCTAGTTCTATCTGTTTCATTATTTACAAGGTATTCCAAATGATCACTCCTAGCCAGAACTATTAGTCACTGTCTAGATGTGCATGTGCAAAGGGTGTTACACACATACCGATGTGCATGTGGAGGTCAGAGGTCGATGCTGGGCATCTTCTTCCATTGTTTTCCACCTTAGTTTTTAACACAGGGTCCATGCACTGAACTGGTACCTCACTGATTCAGCTAGGACAGCTACCAGCAAACTCTGGGGATCCATCTGCTTCTGTCTCCCCAGTGCTGGGATCACAGACAGGCACCATTACCGTGGCTACGTATGGGGGTGCTGTGGATCCAGACTCAGCTCCTCGAGCTTACATGGCAAACATCTTGAGTGAGCCATCTCCACAGTCTCACTCTCTAGGTCTTCTCAAGCTAGTCAAGCCTTCTCACTGGCATCTCACAAGACATCAAAGCAAAAGGCAAATTAATTAAGCTCCAAAGCATCTGAATTTTCATAATGGTTCATCTTACTATTATGGGCTACATTGCTATCTAGCCCAACTAAGATTACAGAGCTCAAATCCTATCTCATTATCTCCAGAGAATCTAAAACTTACTAGTCCTAAAGGTCTTCTAAAGCAGGACAGTTTTAAGCAGAACCTTTGTCTAAATTGAAGCTCAAATCAATACTACAGCTTGAAATCTGACAGTTTAGCACTTCCTACTAAAGCACTTTCAATCAGAGCAAAGATCAGGAATTACTTGCAGGTCTCTTTTTTCTAGTTCTTTATCTACAATGTTTCCATTTCACTTCTAAAACTTCACCTAGTCACTCTTTCCTGCCTTTCCAGATTCTTACACAACTACACAGCATCTTCCTTCTATAAGTAACTGAGAGACCCAGCAGCTCTCCAGTCATGTGGGGAGTCACTCCATGGAACAGCTGTAAACAACTTAAGTGCTTCAAAAGCAACTAAGTCCCACAGAAGGAAACTCCAGAAGACTGGACTTCTGAGCTAATAAGAACTTTCCCAACAAAATGAGTTATCTCTTAAAAATGTTTTTAACCATATTCATTTGTCTATGTTTGTGGGTAAATATATGTGTGTGCGAGGGAACTGTGGAAGTAGAAGGACAACTCGAGGGACTCAGTTCCCTCCTTACACCATGTCCGACTTGGGGCAATGAGGTTTGTGAGAAAGCATTATAAACAGAGGTGACTAGACAGACACTGGAGACAGATGACACAGGCATGTGCTTAAGAGAGTAAACTACCTACATGGCTCCCAGTCCTCGTTAGAAGGTCCTCCTGTGCGAAGCCAACCCCCGAAACCAAAATCAAAATTTCTAGTTTGGGACCCAGATATCTTATTCTTTCTTTCTTCTAAGCATTCCTTTTCAATACTTCAAAGATTACAGATATATGCTTCTTACAACCCTGGCTTTCTGTCAGGCTTCTTAACTATCTACCAAATGAAAAGCTATTTCAATTATTCATAATTTAACATATGTAGTTCTAACTTCAGGTATATTTAGGCAGCCTTCTAATGTTTAGAATGCTAGCATAAACTCCATGTTTGGGGTATGTGTGAGTGTAAGTGAATGGTTTTGTGTGTGTGTGTGTGTGTGTGTGTGTGTGTGTGTGTATCTATCTGTCTGTCTAGAGATCGCATGCAAAGCAAGCACTCTACCAACCAAGCTGTACTCTCAGCCCTTCATATCTGATTTTGTTTCTAGATTACAGGACACACCTCCTTTTAGTCCTCAGTATCTACTAAAAATTTACAATTTTACCAACAAAATTGCAGAGGGGATCAGTTATATTATTTGCTCAAAAACAAACAAACAACAACAAAAAGAAATATAAAAAGGGCCTGAAGAGATGACTTAGCTGGCAGTTTGTCAGTCATGCATGAAGACCTGAGTCTTCCCAGAACCAGTGCAGAAGCACACCCTGTAATCCTAGCACTGGAAGGTCAGAAGCACACCCTGTAATCCTAGCACTGGAAGGTCAGAAGCACACCCTGTAATCTTAACACTGGAAGGTAGAGACAGAAAATCTGAATTTGTTGTTGGTCTAGCTAGTCAGTCATATCAGAGAGCTCCAGGTTCACTGAGACGCCCTGTATCAAAAATAAGGTGGAAAGCAACTGAGGACACCAGTGTCAACCTTGGTCTGGACATGAATGCTCACACACACATACAAATACAGGAGCTAACTCTGGACTTCTACACTCTTCTTTAAAGTCAAGATTTGAAACAAAAACATGCCCCTCCATTTTCACTGAAGACAAAACTCAAACAATTATGAAGCAGTTATCTGTTCAAAAAAAAAAAATCTCAAAATGGATCTCAGAAATAGTATTAAAATTCTTATCAAAATGTAGTTGGTCAAAGGAATGCTAAGAATAGTCTCTAAAAGAACAGCTGAAACACACTTATCACAAACGTCCTTCTAGCAATGTGTGAGGGCTGTTTGCTACTGTACCTTGATAGCCTCAATGGCATATTCCACTTGAAACAATCTTCCTTCTGGAGAAAAAGTATTCACACCCCTGTAATCAAGCAAGCAAACAATGGTATTAGAACCTGTCAGAAGTATACAGACAATATAGACATTGGCATCAAGTTCCTTGACAACTAGCGCAGATGACTATGAGATATACAAGTTGCCAGTCACTCTGCCCACAGCAAGCTTTTCAATCTTTTGCTGTTTTCAAGATACTCAGATCTATACAGGGAACACCTCTCCCCTACTCCTAAGCCTAACCAAAATCTTAACCAAACTGATCGAATGAAAGCACATGACCTGAATCAACCTGGATGAATTCTGAGCCAACCTACCAATTCCTTTGATAAATGCATCCCCCAAGGCTATCACACCATTTCCAAGAAAATGTCATTTTTTTCTTTTCTTTTTTCCTGTTATGTGCATTTGATGTTGTTGCTTTTTTTTGTAAGTCAGTTAAGAATATTTATCTACCTATTTGTATGAAACAGCATTATTGTATTAAGAGACTAAGATCCATATGTTACTAAAATCTCTCTAGCTTCCACACTATTCATGCCCATCCCATGCTAGACTACTCTAAAATACGCTGCCCTCTTGTTTGCACCAGTGTGTTGGTGATTCCTGAGGAAAAGAGACAAACATACCATTAGCTGTAGATGCTTTCAGCACACAATCACCATTTAAAATGTTTTTGAATGAATGCATATAGACTGTAATGCTTAGTTTATGAATTCTAAACTTCAACAGTATGCATAGAGCACAGTGTTTTCAAATTTTAAACAAGACGTTCTTCAAAAGAATTGTGTGTGGGGGGGGGAATAAATTGCTCATAGTTGCTTAGCAGGAAAAGCAGAACTGGAATCAGAGTTCAAGAAATCTTACAGAGACCAAGCTTTCAACTATTCTATTATACTATCTCTGAGAATTCTCACTAAATGAGTGAAAAGAATCTCACTACCCAGTTCCTCAATCAATATCACTAAAGTCATTCAGAAGGAAGTTCAAGGTTCTAAAAAACAGTCAATCACTGAAAGAAAATCTGGGGTCAAAAGATCTAAGATCGAATGTTCTAAACGACGTGACTTCCTACTCCCTACCCTCTTCTTTCCCCTACTAGACGCTGTCCTAAGTTCACAATGGACTCCTCCAGGGTAGCAGCATTTCCATCTCAATGTCCTTGTTACCTTTAACCTAACCATTGTCATAGCCTCCGAACTGGTGCTGACTTGTTCTTCTAATCCGACCAATTAATCTTATAAAAACAATAGTGATGAGGCAACTCCTTAAAGAAAACATTAAAGCCAGACACAGGGGCTCAAGAATATAACCCAGAACTCAGAACACTGAGGTCAGCCTGGGATGGTCAGTTAGCTTTGGTCACCTTGGGCTATAAATGATACCTTGTCTTTGAAAAGTAACAACAACAAAAGACCAAAAAAGGGAGCTGGAGAGATGGCTCAGGAGTTAAGATGAAGAGTTTGATTCCCAGCACTGACACAGTGGCTAAAAACTATCTGTTACTCCAGTTCCAGGAGATCCAACCCCTCTTCTGGCCTCAAAGGACACCAGACATGTCCATGGTACATGAACGACCCCCCAATTTTTTAATAATTTTTTTTAAAAAAGAGGAAATTAATTAGCACACAGTTGCCTATAGAGACTCCAATCCTTACATTCTATTAAACCCATCAGTATCTAGCGCCATCCCAGTTTTCCTTCCCACATCCCCTACTAGCCACAATATGCACAGTACACATGTGGCTATCAGCCGGACTTTTTCAAATACTCAGTACGCCTTTCCACTGGCTCCTCTGCTCATTCTTTACCACCCAACAATGCTGTTGACTCTCGCCGTCGTGATGAACGAAAATTCTACTTTCTCAGGACCCGTTTGAATTATCAGCTTCTTATGCCCTAACCATGACTGCAGCCTCTCATCAGAACTTCTATTGCGGACTGCGATTCCTTCAGTGCCGCTTTCTGGCTCATACTCCAGTTACTCTTGAACACAGGCGGGTAAGGGTCTTGATTTTTGCTCACTGCTGTAAAACCAGCATCCTGAAGAGTGAGGGCCTTGTACCAAGCAAAAGCCTGACATCACCTGCTAAAGGTCTCTACTTACACAGTCTTGAACAAACACAAAGGAAATAAATCCCACAGAACAACTAATACATAGAAAGAAATGAACAACAAACAAAACTTAGTAATAAAATCTGTCAGATAAGGACCACAATTTTCTCAAAATTTTACCACCTAAAGATGATTCTCTTCAATACTCTGGAAGCCAAGAGTTAACAACGATTTTGCTTGACAGCAGGAAACAGTTTTAAAACTTCACATCTATCTTCTATGGGTCAGCGAAAGGATAAAAAAGGCCACTCCAGCTGCTACAATTTTGACAGGATCAGTATATACTTGCCAGGAATTTCACAGGCAACGCGAAACCAAGATGTCTGCTTTCCCTAACTTTTAAAGGAACTTAATATAGCTTGCAGAACTAATCAAAACAGAAACTGAAAGTTAAAACGTCCACAGCAGTTACAGCAGCATTAGTTAGCATTTCTAACGCCTGAAAGGTTTTTTTTTTTTAATAAACACAATCGCACACCTTTAACTTCACAAGATATTTGGCCTTCAACGGAACACTAAAATATCGTGCTTTCAACTTGTTTCTTTGGTGTTGGTCAAAAGGGACCAGCACAGTACAGCTCTTCTGAGAATCACTGTACATTTCAGTTCCTACACAACCAGACGGCAGGCAACTTATCCGGCACAGCTGAAACTGCCTTCGCGCTTTTTTAAAGACAAAAACGTACAGCACGGCATGTCTCCCAACAAACTCACTCAACAGTGGCTGGTGGCTTTTTATTCAAACAGCACATTTCACATTGTGAAAAAAAAAAAAAGCAGTGCTATTTATCTTGAAAAGATGAACGCAGAGCTGGTGACCCCCTAACCTTATCCAGGTTAAAGGTCGGATCCCTCCCCACCGCCTGCCCCAAGCACAAACCCCATTCTCGCTTCCTCAGGGAGCCGGGACTAGCGGTGACTCAGCGGTAGGACAAGGGCGCCGGAACCGCTCCAGTCCAGCCTGGGGAACCCCGCCTGACGCCTCGGGAACCAGATTCCCCGGGTCCCGCCAGACTTGGGTTCCCGGAGCGCCCCATGACACTGCAGAACCCAGGCCGCGGCCCGGGCCCCGGGCCCGCCCACCCAACTCTAGACCCTGCTGCTTCCCGCCGGACGAACCTGTCGTACTCGGACCGAGTGAGGAACATGGCGAGGACCAGAGGAGGCAGCGGTGGGTACGCGGGGTTTTCAAGGGCCACACGACTCCAAGTAGCACCCTAGTCAACCACACCGCCACAGCACCAAGGAGCCTGCTCCCGTCTGCGCGTGCGTACGCGACCTTTATGGCCCGCCTCCCCGGCCTCCCTTCTATTGGCTGGTCGAGATTCTCGCCGCGGTGATTTGACCGACGCGCTTCCTCGACGGACCTGAGTTAACACAGGGAGGGCGGGACCAAGGCGCCCTTCCGCTTTCCATCTCCGGTGGTTGCTAAGGGCGCTGGGACTCGAGGCAAGTGGTGAGAGTGAACCTCTCCGAGGTGAGCCCGGCTCCAGATGGGCAGCTGCGAGGCTCGGATTGATAGTGGGTTGGCGGGATCGTGACGGAAGTCCCGCCAGCTCTTCCTCCTCACGCGCGCAGACCCAGCTCCTCGCGGTCTTCCCGGCTCTGTGGCAACCGGAACCGGCTTTGCTGAGGACTTTGACTTGAGCTGAGAGGTGTGTGTGCCTCCGTACGGAGTCTGCACCCGCGCGCCTGGCGCTTCTGCCAGCCTGGCTTGTTGTTGAAAAAAGTTTAAAAAGTTGATAGGTTCTGGTCTGCATGAAAGTTTTTCAAATTCTTGCATGGGTAAGGTTATTTTGCCAGGTTCTCCTTGGATTCGCACACATCCCACCACACCCTAGCTATCCCAAGTTTCAGATCCAAAGATTCAGAACTCAAGACCCGAGATTTAGGTTAGTCACTGCTTTTTCATGAAGAATGAGTACCTTCTTGTCGTATTATGCTTCTTTTTTCTTTTCTTTTCTTTTCTTTTCTTTTCTTTTTCGACATAGGGTTTCTCTGTAACTTTGGAGCCTGTCCAGGAACTCTTTTAGACTAGGCTGGCCTCGAACTCATAGAGATTTCCCTGCCTCTGCCTCCAGAGTGCTGGGATTAAAAGCGTGCGCCACTAGCGCTCAACTCGTTTCCTTTTCCTGAGGGTAGAAAAGCAACTTGAGAGCTTTTTTTAGAAACATTGTAAATGAATTATGTATCAAAGAAAGATAGGCGACTAAGAAGTCCTGGCTCTCTAGGAATGTAACTCGGTGGCAGAGTACTTGCTTAGCATGCATAAACCCCTGGTTTGAACCCATCTTGGGAGTGGGGGGGCGTCCTCGATGTGGGTTGGGGAAGGAGTGGTCAGAGTGCAAAGTTTCAGCTAAGATTAATACCTAGTGGAGATATGTTGTACAGCAAGGTGACAAGTTTATATCTTATACCTGAAATTTTCTAAGATCAGTTTTGATAACTACCAAAAATGGTAGGGGGTAGTGAATGTTAGCTTAACTTAATCATGATATTATACATATATTAAAACATTCCGGTGGCTGGAGAGACGGCTCAGCAGTTAAGAGCACCATGTGTGGGCTGGAGAGATGGCTCAGTGGTTAAGAACACTAGCTGCTCTTCCAGAGGACCCAAGTTCATATTCCCAGCACCCACATGACACCTAACAACTGTCTGTAACTCCAGTCCTAGGGAATCTGACACCTTCACACCAATGCACATAAAATAAAGTTAAACAAAATTTTTAAAAATTATTTAAAAAAAAAAAACAGCACCACGTACTCTTTCAGAAGACCCAAGTTCAGTTCTCAGCCTCCTTGTCTTCTCATAAACCACTTTTTATTCCAGCTCTAGGGGATCCACTGCTGGCACCTAAACCTCTCTCTCCTCTCTCTCTCTCTCTCTCTCTCTCTCTCTCTCTCTCACACACACACACACACACACACACATCATTTTGGGCTGAGTGTGATGGTCCCTTTAATCCCAGCACTCGAGAGGCAGAGGCAGGTATATCTCTGAGTTCAAGGCCAGCCTGGTCTGCAGAGTGAGAGTTCCAGGAAAACCAGGGCTACACAGAGAAGCCCTGTTTCAAAAACAACCAAAAAGAAAAAAGAAAAAAAGAAATACTCTTACTATAGTGAATACGTGGGGATGAAAGGCACTTGCAGCCTCTCCTAATACTCAGTGCAGTGATGAATGTCTGTCTCCCAGAATGCACCGCTCTAGAGCAATTTGCTTGTGCACATATACCAGCAATACAGGGGATCCACAGGTAGTCAATTGTGGGTAAAAAGGAAAGCGGATTTTCCCTCAACCTCAGTGAGATACTGAGTGTCTCAAAACTAAAGTGGGAAGCGATGGAGGAAAAAGCGGATGTCGGATGCTCTTAACTGTTGAGCTGCGTGTGCTCACACACACATAGTCACATCATCTCTTACTGTAACACTTCACGGAACGTCTTACCTGTGAATAGTCACTTTCATTGGCAGTTAAGCCAGGTGTCTGTCTCCTCTTCACACACCCCAGGAAAATAATAAAGGAGCCAGAAGAAGGCCGACTAAAAGATTCCTCGTCAGTAACAGAAAAAGGAATGATCAGTCTGAATCCCAGGTCCCGAGCCCTGGATCATCAGGTCTGAAACTTGTATGGGGTGGTGGAATGTGTAAAAATCCAAGAAATGCCTGGCAACATAACCTTAACCATGCAGAAGTTAGGTTTTTGTTCTTTCTTTTTAAAAAACGGTTTATTATATATAGTGTTCTGGCTGCCTGTACCCATGCAGGCCAGAAGAGGGCGCCAGATCTCATTCTAGGTGGTTGTGAGCCACGTGTGGTTGCTGGGAGTTGAACTCAGTACCTGAGTTCTTAACCTCTGAGCCATCTCTCCAGCCCTCACCCTTACTTTCTTATAGGCTAAAACCTACCACCTTGGAGATGAAGAAAATAGGCTAGTGGTAAAAGGCGCCAACCACCAATTCTGACAATCTGAGTTTGAGCCCCAGGACCCACATGGTTGAGGGAGACAACCGAGTCCTGCACATTTTCCTCTGCTGGCCACACACACCGCCTGGTCACTTTTTGTCCACTACTTGACACAACCTCCACTGAAGGATTGCCTACATCAGACTGGCCTGTAGGCATGTCTGTAGAATGTTGTCTGGTTGCTAATTCATGCAGGCAGCCCCAGCTTCCTTAGCCTTGTGGTCCTGTGCTGGCTTCTCTCAGTGGTAGACTGTGACCTGAAGGGTAAGACAGAAAACTCTTTCCTTCCCAAGCTGCTTTGGTCAGAGTGCCTTATCACTACACAATGAGACTACATGCCATGGCATTTTTGTCCACACATAGGCAAAGTAAATAAAATATAATTTAAATTAAAATAAAATACCGAAACCTACCAACCTTTCTCAGCAACAAGCCAGGCAGCCTGAAGCACCCAGCACTGGTTCAGATGCACTGGACTGCACACACCTCTGCCCCCAGAGAAGCCATTAGGAAGAATCCCTACTTTGGATTCTTTTTTAAAAGCCTATAATTACCCAACTTGCAAGACTTTCTGACTACATGTAAGCTAGAAATTTTTATTGCCTTCCTTCCTTCATTTATTTATTTTTTGTTGTTTTGTTTTGAGACAGGATTTCTCTGTGTAACCCTGGCTGCCCTGGAACTCACTCTGTAGATTGAGGTGGCCTCGAACTCAGAGATCCACCTGCCTCTGCCTCTCAAATGCTGGGATCAAAGATGTACGCCACCACACCCTGCAAAATGTTTACTTTCAAATAGCTTCCAGAAAGTGTATTACTGTTTCAATAACTTTTGATAAAGACACACAGTAAAAGGGGATGGGGAATGTTTCTGAAACTGAACCAGGAAGAACACCTCAAACTTTGCATGGTTTTAACCAAAGCGGAGAATGGACACCTGTGATGTGGGAGTGTCATATATCAATCTGTTGATTTCATTGGCTGAGCAATAAAGAAACTGCTGGTCCTGATAGGTTAAAAGATAGGTGGGCGGAATAAACAGGATAGGATGCTGGGCGGAAGAGGAAGTGAGGTCAGACTCTGCTCTGCTCCCGGAGAGACCTGACAGCTCTGCACTCTGGAGCAGAGACACCATGATGGACGGAGGCTAGACTCTTCCCGGTAAGCGCACCTTGGGGTGCTTACACACATCATTAGAAATGGGCTAGTCCAGGTGCGAGAATTAGCCTGTAAGGGCTAGAGTTCAGGGGCCAAGCAGTTCTCAAATGAATACAGTTTGTGTGTTGTTATTTCGGGCATGAGCTAGCCAAGCGGCCGGGGTGTTGGGGACGCAGCCCCGCCGCTCTTATTTCAACACACCTGGGCAGAGAGTGGGAAGATAGAGAGACTGCCTTTTACAGGTAACTTAAAATCCTGGTGGTTTCTGTCTTTTTTTTTTTTTTTTAAGACTGGTGTGGGTAGTCATCTGTAATCCCATCACTAGGAAGGCAGAGGAAGGAAGACACACTACTAGTTCAAGGCCAGCCTGCTCTACAAAGTGAGTTCTAGACAAATCAGAACTGTATCATGAGACTCGGTATCAAAAGTCAAACAAGAATTATCTATAATTAGTTGATGATAACATGTGCATATATACTTAGTCTTTAAAATAAATGAAACTCTGGGGCTGGAGAGATGGTTCAGTGGTTAAGAGCACTGGCTGCTCTTCCAGAGGACACAGGTTCAATTCCTAGTACCCACATAGCAGCTCATAACTATCTGTAACTCCAGTTACAGGGGATCTGACATCTTCACACCAATAAATAAAGTAAATTTTAAAATAAATTTATAACTTATAAATAAATTAGAATAATTTTATAAAATAAATTTGAATAGACTTTTTTTTAAAAAAGAAATGAAACTGATATTTGCTACAACTTGGGTGTTTTTGGCAAGGCTGGGGTATAGTTCATTGGTTGAGCACTTCCCTAGCATGCATAATGCCCCAGAGTTTGATCCCCAGCACTGTACAGAGACTTGGGGAGAGGTAAGAAAAAAGAAGTGCTAAGCAGGTAAGCAGGACCCAAAAAGCCAAATATACGATTCTCTCTATGAGGTACCTAGAATAGTCAGGTCACAGAAGGGACAGTGGTTCCCAAGAATAGGGAGGCAGACATGGAGAGTCATAATTTAATAGGCACAAAGTTTTTTCTAGAAGAAAAGTTCTAGAGATAGTCAGTGGTGATGGCAATCCAATAACATGTTCTGTTCTGAATGTTCTGAATGCCACTGACACATGCATTTAATAATTGTTAGGCAGGTAAATTCCATCTTATGTGCAGT